ATATCAAAGTGAATCCAGCTTCCAGCAAAGATTTTCAATTAATGGCGACATGCTTATTGGTCCACACATGCTTCCATCGCGTCTAAGAGGACCTTCATATCGGCGATTCTTAAGAAGACACTTGCCACGTCTCCTTGAAGATGCACCACTGAATACAACAAGACGGAGTCCCAGCACACTTCTCAGTGAACAGTACCCTCAGCGATGGATTGGGTGTGGTGGCCCAGTAGCATGGCCACCGAGGTCACCGGACCTGATCCATTGGACTTTTATCTGTGGGGTCACTTGAAGTCCGTCGTTTATGCAACACCCATAAACAATGATGACGACCTATGGGAACGTATGCAGAATACATGCCAGATGATTCGAGGAAACCCTGGAGTGTACGAACGAATTCGTCAGTCTTGTGTGTACGTCGTGCTCGTGCATGTGTGGAGAATGGAGGAACAACCTTTGAGCATCTGTTATAAACAAACATCCCTGTCCTTATACTTGGCAATAAATGCATACATTGAAAATTATTTTTGGCTATTATTTCGAAAATGAAACATTTGCGACCCCATGTTCATAGGAATTTTTTTTTCTTATTTTTTATCCTGGAACACGCACACAAAGTTTGTAAACATACTCTTGACTCACCCTGTATATAATTAATGATCAAAAACATTAAATATCAGTGTTGGTGTTTATTGGGATGACGTCCGCTTTCCTGGCGAACGTTTCCAGGCCGATCGAACACAAGAACAACAAAAGTACAGTCATAGTACAATTGGTGTAACTCAATATCCACGTTACTACTGAGACAGGTAGGCAGACGTGTGCTGTTGTGTATCACTTCGTGCATCTGCGCAAGAGCGAGGGACATACACCGCGATGCGCAAACCCGCCAACGAGGAGGGTCTGATGTACGAGGTGCGATCGGAAAGTTTCAAGACTACGCCTATAAAAACCCGTACACTTATCTCAGGTATTAAATTCATCCATCACCCTCGAAGTAGTTCCCCTGGGAGTGAACACAACAATCCCAGCGCCGCTGCCAAGCCTGGAAGCATCCCTGGAAATCTTTCTTTGTCAGCCTGTCAAGCACCATCTGCGATTCTGCCTGAATCTCTTCTATCGTCTCAAATCTCCTTCCCTTTAGCTGAATTTTCAACTTTGGGAAGAGGAAGAAGTCACACGGAGCTTAGAAAGGAAGCTGGGGTCGGTTCTTGCAAGATCTTTAAGCTCCTGACAAACGAGAAGTCGATTCTGCTTCTAGTCCTCTGACAGGATGCGTCGCATGTGGAGTTCTTCCTTTAGAATCAGCTGACAGGTCCCATAGCCTATCCCAAAAATGTCGCACAAGTCGTTGATGGTACGACGTCGATCTTCGTAACAGTTTCGGGCGTTGTGCTCGAAGATGGTCGTCCAGAACGCTCGTCATCATCGACAGAGGTTCGGCCATTTTTAAAACGTGAATGCCACACAAAAGTTTGTGCACGACCCATTGCGGACTCCCCAAATGCTTGCTTTAGCATTTCACAGGTTTCCGTAGCCGTTTTGGCGAGTCTTTGGCAAAATTTGATGCACACGCCATTCCGAAAGCGCAGGAGGGTCGGTGTAATGCACTACCAAAACGCCCGTAACTAAGAAACAAATGCTAATTCGATGATGCCGGCTGGCACACTGATTCACTATGAATGTAGGCCGCACCCCCTAGCAGCAGAAGCTTGGTCTTATGCATGCTTCATTATAAGCTTGACAGACAAAAATTAACAGTGAATTATTCTTACTGCCATTAAGTTCTAATTCTAAAAGTGAAAGGATATGACGTCAAACTTTGTGTCTTCCGGCAATGTCATTTCAATGCCAAATAGATGACCTTATGTACTTTTAATTACATATTTTTCTTGCAAGAACCAACAGACAGGACAGTAAGAAATGAAGGTGGCGGTGTGATGTTATATTATAGTGTAACAATGTCATTAAACAGTTCAACAATGCCAACCCCAACACATCTCAATAGATTATATATCATTGCTTAAATTAATTAGTTTAATACAAGAAATGATATGGTTATTAAACTATAAATTAATGAGTAAAACAGTAGTTATGACAGAAATGTGAATAAAAGACTGGAAAATATTATCAAGCATGACCCTAATAATGTTTTGTTGGATTGATAGATGAATTGCAAAAAGCACATAAATTCTCAGCTTAAGCTAGTAAGTAATAATGCTTGTCTGAGAAAAGTAAATATGAGTTTGTCTCATTATTAGAATATTGAAATGTACCAAAAAGAAAATTTTACCTGCCATTTTTATGCAGTGAAGTACGTGACTGTTTGCAGTTTTAACCTCATATTGACGGGGTGATTAAAGCCAAAATAGAGATGAATGAGGCACATAGCATACATGAACAAGGTAAGCAAGCAAGTAATGCATACAGAATTTTGGTAGGAAGACCACATTGGATGAAACCATTTAGAAGATGTTTGTGGATGGTGGGAGCTTGTGTTAAAATGGATCTTTGATAAATGTGCTGAAATGATGGATTGAACTAGCACAGGTTAGGCATTAAATTTTACGCTTTTGTAAGACTATTGAATAGCTATCAACTGGTCAAGAAGGATACCTCCAGGGGGGACAAATAAATGCATAAGATGATCACTGATGTAAGAAGTTGTCATTCTATTATAGATGTAAAACAAATGAATCTGCGCAGTTGCTAGTATGTTGTTTATATATATATGTTATTCCCCTGCAAAAGTCAATCAGTTTAAGATAAAAAAGATTAAAATATCTGCCTCTGTGTTTCAGACCTTGAGCTTTGTGTGAAAGGCTTTGAAGCTTCTCACTTTGAAGGCTAGAGTTGTTCTTACAAGTGTTAATCTTAAATAGGCCAGAGGTCAAGACATATAATTGAGATAGTCATTCTGTATGTATAGTAGAATACCACAGTTTGATATGACTTGCCATAGTGAAGCATCTTGCAGTTCACATTTATATTCAGCAGCTTGGGAGAGGCCAGATGCCAGCAATGGTTCTTAACCCCTAACAAAAGAAACATGGAAGTGTGTCCTGGAAGGACTTTCTGATTTTACTTACCTCATTGGCCATGGTGTTTGGACAATTCCAAACAGTTTTATTTTTTATTCATGTTATTAAATTTGTATATTCAGTGGTTTGAACCATGTTATAGATATAAGATTTGAGGTTTTCACAGCAGTGAGTATGAAGTTTTCTGTCTTCTGGGTTGTTGCACTGTGTAGTATGGTAGATGTTAACCAACGTTTCAGAGGTCATACTGCCTCCGTCATCAGGGCGATGAATATTCATCGCCTGATGACGGAGGCAGTATGACCTCTACAACGTTGGTTAACATCGACCAGACTACACAGCACAATAACCCAGAAGACAGAAATCTTCATGTACTAGATGTTTATCAAATTTAAATGGTGTCTCTTTGATTCAACAGTCTTCTGTGTTGAACGTTTGACTACCATATCCTATGAATGCTCATATTACATAATATTTAAATCTTCAGTGAATGTTATGTAATCAAGTACATTGACTTTCAGTATATTTTTGCTAAAACTTGCTTAAAGTCTCAAAATAAATTGATATTTGTATACATGGGTTTCAGTTTTTATTTGGCCAAGTGGGGAGGGGAAAATAAATGGGAGTATATACTCAATTTAATAATGTTTAGATTGTTTCAAAGCTACTCACACTACCTAAGAACCATTAAAGATTTCCTTGTATTTCATTAAATGTTTACCAAATCAAAAAATGATGTGAATAAAGCTTGTGTAACTTGATGAGATCTATAATTTATGTTAATTTTTTGTGAGGGTAGGGGAGAACAAAGTAAACCATTGCTGATAAAAGTCACATGTGATGTGAACATAGAAAGTAGGCTTTATATTTAACCAACATAGACCAAAATTAAATTTGCTCAACTACTTCTAGTATAGCCCTCCTGCCAGCATCAGATTACATTGAAGTGGTAATGTCAGGGATGAGACTTATGACAACCTATCCATTTTGTGTTCACTATATTTGCTGTGCGAAGTATGCATAGAAAGCTCTCTATCTAATCCTTTCCATTTATTTTCATGACCTGCTCTTCTTAATCAGTATGTATCAATTTTAGCAGTTATTGGTCTCTGTATGTCAGTTCATACATCATGTTGCTGTCTCTCTCCATTTCTACAAGCATTACATTTCTTCAACTCGTTTTTCTGGTCCAGTAGACTTTCATGTGGCAAAGTCTTCATTTTTTGAAATAGCAAAGATCATGGTTTGACAAATAGAGCTTAAAATTGTTGGATCCAAGGAATTAGGCCTAATTTCAGTGATTTCAGGATCCAAGGCAAATGAATGTAAACAATATGAACACTGTAGGAGGTCAAACTAGTAGAAGTTTCAGGTATAAGAAAAGGGAGTATGAGAAAGATAGAATTAATGATCTTGAAGGAAACAGAAGACTCAAAATATTTTAGATGCTTGTATGAAGACAGATAGTTGACTGTTATTCTTATGAGTTTTCACACTGTAAATTTATAGGTAGATACCAACATTTCAGTGAACATGTTGTCTTCATTTTCAGGGCTGAAGGAGCCCTGATGATGGATGCGCTGTGTTTCCTTGAAACATTGTTTTTTTTCTGTCAGTCTACATGGCATCAAAACCGAGAACTCCATTATCATCCTCACTCCTATGAGAATGTAATCTCAAACTTAACCCTTGTTTTGTTGTTTGGTTTATCAGTGCTGTGTTCAGTGCCCAAGTTATGTAGCATCGGGTGAAAATGGTAGGATGATCATGTCTGTTGAGTAGGGAAGGTTGTTATGCAAAGCAGTTTTGATCTGTTACTTTCAGCGCATTTGTTGAGGTTATGGATGAACCCATGAAAAATATCAGTAAAGAAAGTTGACCTGACCTGATCTGATCTGAGTGGCTTACCACAAATTACTACTGTAAGCTATGAAATTCTGTTTCTACTGTGTTGGTTTGCAGGTTCATACCAGCCATCTCATGAGCTGATGCTGAGGTTCTATGCATACTTCAAACAGGCAACAGAGGGACAATGTGTGGCACCCAGACCAGCGTTCTGGGAAGTGGTAAAGAAAATGAAGTGGGAGGCATGGAACAAACTGGGCAACATGTCACGAGAGGAGGCAATGAACAACTATGTCGAGGAGCTCAAGAAGGTTCATGCTTAGAGGCTGTCATTCTTTAGAACCTTATTTGTTCTGTCGCATTTTCATCTAAGATATTTCTTAAGGATAGTGAAATCACACTTTTTCATCTCTGCATTTGCTTTTTGGACTTTCAGTAGTTCAGTCAAATAAAACAATTAATTAAAAATTAATATGTGAGATGTCAGGTTGTCATGGCAGTGAATATGAAGATGACTGTCTTCTGGGATGTTGCACTGGTGCTTACTCCCATCACCCTGATGATGGAGGTGTTAAACACCTCTGAAATGAAAGTAAACTTTCACCAGACTACACAGTGTAGTGTCCCAGAAGACAGTCATCTTCCAAAATAAGTTTGAATCCCTGTAATTTATTGTATGTTTTTTATATTTTCATAAGATAAACAAGTAATAGTGGAACAGAGATATTATCTTATGTGCCAGCAACAAGATGATGTTAAATTTTTAAATTTTATATACACAGGTGGTATAATGTAGGGACAGCCCATGGCTGTTAATTTCAGATGCTGACTCCCCCTTGGATCCATATCTAGGGATATTTAAATCTTAAGTTTGCTTTTTCAGCTGTAGAGGTTATAGCATCAGATGTGAAGGCAATATGATGGTGAATGGTGAGAATTTGGAGGGAGACATTTCTGTCCTATTTAAATGGTACTGTCACAGGATTTGCCAGGAGAGACTGAGAAAATTTACTTTTACCATAGTTAGTATATGCAATAACTTGGTCAAGATTTGTACTGGGTATTTTGTGAGCAGAAATTAACTCTATCAACTTGCTGAGTTTCTTTTAAAATTAACATGTGTGCTTCAAAATGAAGATGATGCTAGTTTTGGAAATGTAACTGATTTCATGGCCTGTTGTGTACAGATAAAATTGTGATGTATTTCCTGTCTTTAATTTTATTTTGTGTCTCTTGCTTGTCAGATTGTGGAAACTATGTCATATACAGACAACGTTGCAACGTTTCTGGGAAGTCTTGGTTCATTTTATGATTCTGTTCCTGTAGAAGATTTAGAGTTGCTGGTGGGAAATGTGATTGAACGCATACGTTCACAGCCTGGGTCCCCTCTCGGTGGCTCACCTCTGGGTAAGTGAAGTGTATTAACTAATTCAGACATGCTTACTGCACATTTTATGTAATTATATTCAACTACTCATTACTGTTATACAAGAGAACTGGACTGGGTAACTGCATTTGTTGTTCAGTCTTTGTCATTCCCTAAACAGAAGACTGTCTTCATGTTTTGAGGATATCTTACAATGTAACTGGCTTAAACAGCTCAAAAAATAAATTAGTGTTTAAGTAATTGATGGAAGAGTCAGAGATAGTTTCTGAAGCATTGGGCTTTTGTCCACATATGACACAGCTTGTTGCCTAAGAAGATTTTATCACTTGGAATAGACCTATTAATTTTAACATCATTCCCAAACTGAACTTAAAATTGATTGCTTAGCTAGAACAAGTTGTAAGTTTGCTATTTGCCATATGTCAGAAGATCAATTAATTTTGAAACACCGTATATACCCCATTATATCAAAGGACATCAGCACAGAACTGGAGGAATTGTTTTCCAGTATCACGTGAGTCTTCACCAAACAGGACATCTGCGATATCAGCTGCAAATGGGCGAATCACATCGAGCCTGGAAACCAGTCCAGCAAGCAGCTATTCAGCCTCACCATTACCTCCAAATCCAGATGATGATGAAGAGGAGGAGGAATTCATTGACACTGTAGAGGTCAGTGCAGTTCTGCCATCAGTATGGCTTTTCTCACATGATATGTTCAGTTTTAGACATGTGCAAAAATCTTATTTTCCAGCTCATTGTTTATTGGTTGTATATTATCAAGTGGTGGTGACATGTCTCCTGTGTGTGTACTTTGTACTGCATCAAAGTAGCACCCTAAAGTTCTCCAATTTCACTCAGATTTTGAACAGGAGATTCTACAAAGCTACTGAAGTCTTCACATTTCAAGTATCAGTATAAAATAATTCACAAGTGTGTCCTTCGGTACCCCTCTTATGGGCATTTCTGGAAGGGAGCTAACATCCAAAAATAAGTACACGTGAATAATTATGGATTGGTCTACAGAAGAACATTACACATTCATGTAATAAGTTGGAGTGCAGATTCAGTTTCCTCTTACCCACTGTGAGCTTACTTGTATGTTTAAATTTTATACAGACTGAGCCTGAGCGTATAGTGAAAGAAAACTCTACTGTTGGGAGATCACTGTCAGGGTCGAAGAAACCAAATTACTACAGTAATGGTGTTCCTATGATTCCAAAGAATGACTCAACAGAAATTATTCCTAATGGTCATATTAATGGTGTAGCCATTAAGAATCATGTGAATGGTCATCACAGCCACATTGCAGAAGATGCTGTGCCACCTGCAATGGATGGTCTTGGAGAAGAAGGAGGAAGAGAGACAGTAAACAGCAGGGGGCGTTCCAGAGAGCGACACAGCCCCAGGGTACACAGGGGTGAGGAAATAGTTATCTTTGTTTAAAATTGTGGGTATTTTAATTTCCATAAATGGATGTTTTTTTGCAGTTTTACAGTGTATATCTAATGCCTTCAAGGAAAAACAGAGAACTGGAAATTGCACTCCAGGATCAGTAAATTTTTAGACTTAAGAAATACCAGTGAAGTTTGTGGTATCATTAACTCATCAGTACTGGAAGATTTAAATCAATTTGAATAATTTCAGGATGAAGGAGATGGGACTTAAATTCACACATACAAAAAATATGCATGCTTGGACAGAAGTGACTGTCACTTCTCTAGTTTTAATCAGATTTATTAGGTAAACACTACAGTAACTGTAGAATATGAGGATGCGATTTTCATTACCTCAGTAATACAGCTTGATGTAATAATCCTTGAAACACTCAAAACAGTGGAAATCATCCCCACTAGCTTACAAACACCACAAGCATAGCATAAATTTAACCAAATGTCACTGGTTTCCAAGGCTGTGATAAGGACCTTGGTTCAAAATCACACTCCTCTGATTGCATAAAGTATTCTGCATTAACATTGGTCTTTGTTATAGTTATGAATTGTACTGCACAACAGGTTGTCTCAGTTCCTTTATTTTACAAAATTAATTATTATAAATTATAACATTTCCAAAATGTAATTTGTGTCCTTGGCTGCAATGAGGAAACATTTGTCGTGTCCCCCGTCATTTGATGCCTTGCCATTCCAAATCTGTCACCTACACCATTGTCTGTACCTTCATTACTATCATAATTCATGATGATTATCATTAAATAGAGAAAATCGAATATGTTATTAACTTGCCTATCAGTCACTATGCAGTGCAGACACAGCATCAATGTGGACCAACGTGTCCTGCTAAATCACAGCAGTATTCCGTCCAAGAAATCCAGATGCCATGAGCAGGTCATGGAAGCAATGGAAAAAGATTCTCCTAGAATAAGACCTTTACTTAATGATGCATTCCTTTCTGTCCCTTAAAAGGGCTGTTCATATTCTCTCTCTCATGACCAGCTGTCCTCTCTGGTGCCCTGAAAGAGCTCTTTCCAGTACATCCAGATATGGCTATGATTGGCCAATCCCCTTGGTCTGATCCTTCTGCTAATACTCTGTAAGCCATCCACTTTCTAACTTTGATCACTTCGATCCCAAGAATCAAGGTAGAATGATCCCTGATATATTGCCAAAATACAACATGGCACAACAGCCCAAAAGACAACCATATATAGTTTCCGCATTTGTATAGCAGTTCAAGCCAAAAGTACCAGTCACCCCACCATGTCATTAGACAGTAATATCATTGCATACAGAGACAATGATAATAGTGTTCTGTGTTATATTAAGAAAATTAGTGCATTGATTCAAACATTACAGCTTCATAAACCAAGATTTAATAGTAATGTGATGTAACTCTTGTCGATTGATGTACAGAATATTGTACACATTCTTTTACAGTGAGGGTGATGAATATGCATGTAGAAAAAGTGGCATTAAACAAACTATTAATAAATAAATAATATGCATGAAAGTACAGTATTTTTATTGGGTGAATAAGTAAAGACCACTTATGGGATAACCTGAGAAAATATATGTTTTATGAACGCAGCTTTTCCCGTACCCACGAGGATAAGCCAGACTGAACTCCAGATCGCCATGGTTAAGTGTTGCCCAAATTCTGCCGTTATGACACCGCCCAGATTGAGTGAGTCACTGCCTGTTAATGACATCTCAGATCAGATTCGTGAAGCTGTACTTCACCTACAGAGAGATCTGGATAGGGTGACTGCAAGAGTGAGAAGTCTGGAGGTTTCTGCCCTTTCTGGATCCTTACATAATTCGTCGGTGAGTGATCATGAGTTGAGAAACTACAGTATTCTTTCTGAGAAAGCAACATGAGATATTTAAAAATGTTTCCAACATAATGGAGAATGCTTTATTCACAACCCAGCAGGACATGTTATGGAGTGATTGCGTTCAGAATTGATACTGCTTTTTGAGGCATCCTTTTCATGTAGCATAGAGTTTATTGCCTCATGATGTCACGGAGGTCCACTTCAAATTTGGGTTCTTACTCCCCCAGTTTGTACTGGTTGAATATTCTGGGATAACAAATACATTTAGATAATGAAGATCTTAAATCTTAACAAACTGAGCAGGTTAGTGCAGCCACAAAGCCCTAGGCTGATATTTAGGAAGTACCCAGTTTGTATCTCAGCTCAGTTACTGGCTATCCTAACAGGTTTTTCATGGTTTCTCTCAGTATATCCAGGCAAATGCCAGTGTACAGCCTTTAAATAGGCCATGATTTTATCCTGTCAGATTCTTATGTACCTATCATTCATGATCATTTTTCCATAGTAAGTCATTCTTTGTAACCTCTGAAATTGAAGCAGTACTATGGCAAAACCTAATAATCAATCAAGGATCTTGGCAAAATATTATACAACACGTAAGTTTTGGGCTCTACATAAAAACTTCCATAAACAGTGTTAAAAAAGCTAAGGTGCACGTGTGTCCACACTTGCATATGCGGGGAAACCCCCCCCCCCCCCCCCCCCGCGTATAACTAGAGTCATCTGTACAAAGGATGAAATCGTGTTAACTGGGTCCACTCGGTGGAGTTTCCACGACATCTTTATCTCATTTCGTCACACCGCTGTTCACATACACATTAAGCCATGGTATAATTAACATAACTCTGAGCTTGGAGATTGTATTTCTTATGTAAATACTTTCTTGGTGATTATTTTGGCAAAAATACATTTTTAAAGTACAAGTTATAATGTAAATTGTTGTTGTGTGAAGGGTATGAAGGGGACTTTGAAATACCTTGAAGTTATTTATACATTAAGCTGTGAGATGGCATTACTTGTTGAACACAGAGGTTTTATTTGGAAGTAATTTTCTTGTAACATCTGATCTGAATTGTATATTACAGGTATATAATCTCATAATTTGTGAGAGCAAAATAAAATCTTTGGGAATACAAGGAAATATTGGCAAAAAATTAGAAATGCTACTTGTGAATGACCAGATTTTTTAACAGATCAACATCTATCCACAAACCTATGTTGGAGAAGGTTTTACTGTAAATGGTACTTTCACTATTGAAATGCAGTGTGTGTGGGAACATGGCTCTCTACAAGCATAGTTTAGCCTCATCACATGTACATAATGGGTTTAATTCGGCTGATGCAATGTTTGTACAGGTTTGGTCAAATGAGAGACATCCATCATGGTGGCCATTCCCAGATCTCTCGCCTAGAACCTTCATGTTTGTGATCCTCTGGCCTCTGTTTGTTCATGCAGTCATCCTGTGGTTGAGGAAGAGACGTAGTGCACGTGCTCAGCTCCTTTGATTGCTCATCACAGGTTCAGTTGTTTTGTAAGGTTGGTAACAGCTGCAACATCCTGTGATTGTCTGTAGCATCGGTGCTATTGTTATCATCAGTCAGGTCTGTTTCAATAATTGGGACTGTAAGGATGATATGTTAACTCTGTAATTATATTTTATGTACCTTTGAGCCCTCATAATTGGGCGATAGTCATTGAAAAAATGTACCAAGGATATAATATCATTATTGGATGAAGGGTCTATGTTTGTAATATATGGCAATGCAGTGGTGATAAATGTAATATTCATAAATTCCTTGGGTAATGTCCTATGTAACATCACAGGTTTGGGGTGGATGAGCCTAGAAAACACGGAAATACAAAGACTGGTTTCCACAATGTGTTTCATGTGTCTAGCAATTGACATGTTGTGAAACATTTACTATATCATAGTTTTAGAATGTTTTTAGTGTTAAAATTCTTTTCTATTCCTGAAAAGTGACTTGGTAGGCTGTAGTGTGCTGTTTTATTACTTGAACTGAACTGTTAGTTTCAGCTACAGGCATGTGGAATATTAAAATTTAAGACATATCTTTACAGTGAGATTTGGGATCCCATATTTTATAATTCTCTACATCTGGCTGTTACTGAAATTAAAACATAGGGTGCAGTGATTTTTGTTTTACTTTAAGCTCTTGTTTTTAATGCATAAAATTATCTAGTCCATAGTGTGTGATGATGATTCTTGCAGGAAAACTAGAGATTTATAATCAGCATTTTGATCAATATTCATTTCATTCCTTTTGTATGCCCCATATAAGAAGGTATTCTTTTTACTGTGGTGGTAGTCCAGAAGCAAGAGTGTTCACAGAAACACATTATCAGATTTTGTAGATGCAAATCAGATATGCACAAACCAAGGGTCAAATATAACAGTATGTGTTCCTAAGAAAGTGTTATTCCTGTCAGCAGCGGATTACTTGGGTCAGTCAGGCTGATAATTATCAAGTGATTATAATTGCCTTCTCATGGCATGTGCTCAGTTTTGTACAGTTTGAAATAACTTAGTTTTTTAAGATGTCTGTCTTCTGGGTTGTAGCGCTGTGTAGTCTGATAGATTTTCACCATTGTTTCAGAGGTCCATGCTGCCTCCATCATCAGGTTGATGAGTGATGATGGAGGCAACAAGGACCTTTGAAATATTGGTGAACTTCTACCAGACTACACAGTGCTACAACCCAGAAGACAGTCATTTTTGTACTCACCACCATGAGAACCTCAAATCCTATTTGGTTATATTAAACAGTGATGATAATCATGTGGTTTGGCTTATCAAGTGTTACTACCCAAAGGTCTTTTTGTCCTTTCTGTAACCATTATCACTTAAATTTCAGCACTGTGTAATGTAGTTTAGCAATAAAATTTTAAATACTTAGTTTGGAATGTGGTGCATGTAACATAAGTATAAGGGCTGAAATGGGTTTCTTAATCCTGGTGTTGTTTTGCAAAGAGGAAAAGGTGTACTTCTGGGACAGCAGAAACCATACATCGGTATTCTGATAGGATGGTAGCTGACAGAGGGAACCACAGCCTGGTATTCCCAACATTCTAATTAAGCACCTTGTTTGATTCTCATTTTCTATTCTACTTGGTGTTCTTGTTTAACTTTGATTGTGTGTTCTATGGTGATGTTGTTGGGTAACTTTTGTAAATTGTTGTACATGTTTAAGGAAATATACATGGCCTTTATTAAGGTTAAGATAGGCAGAAGCAATACAGTTGTTTGGCTCAGTTAACTGCCCACCCATCATTAAACTATGGTGAGAGCATAAATGGTTCTTTCAGATTTTCCGCATGAAAGGTGCACTGCTAAATAGGAAAATGATCAGCTTTATTATAAATTTCTCTGTTTTGGGGAGAAATAGTCTCAGAAGTGTAGATTAAGATGGTGATTGGGCACTTTTTTTGAATCAAGCCTTGGTTATTTATCGAGCCTCCATAATGACTAAGACTTTTTCTGTTTGTACTTAAAAAACTGCAACATTGTCAGTTGGGATCAAATCCAAGACCTTTTTAATATTATGCTAGTATGCAAATAACTAGGGCTGATCAGCTGTTAACAAAGGCAGGTATCTGCCCTTTCATTATTTCCACAGTATGTCCCTAGGAATTTTTATTGATCAGCAATTTGGAATGACAGTTTATAACAGTGGCTTAAATGGTCAGTGCTGGTACTTAGAAGATGTAGACTTCATCTGTGATGCAGGCTTTTGCTGAGCCAAAAACTGCTTACGAATTTGGAATAGTGTTCTTTATAAGAGTCACAGAATGCTGCTTGTGAATGTAGAAAATTTTACAGATGTGTGCATAATATAATATAATAAATAATGGATATATTACAAAATTAACTTCTTTTGACCATTTAACCCTTTGCGGTCCCTTTTAAATACCACTAAGCTATGTAAATTCAACTACTGTTATGAACGGATTTGATTGTCTTTTATAACTTTCATAAAGTGGAAGAAACTTTGCTAAATGTGGTGAAAATATGTTCTGAAATTATCACCGTTCCTACTGTTGAAATACTGACTATGTGAAATATTTTTCATGGACTGTACCATTGTCACTAGTGAGATGTGTAGTAAATGGTGCCTTTCTGCTTGCTGTTGTTCGGTAGAGAATAAAGCACGACTAAGTCAATAGATATGACTTTGGCGACATGTAAACATCTCTTATTACATGCAGATATATGATGTATAAGCATCTGATTTCATAATCTCAGAGCTAAGCTACTTTTCAAGCTGTTTGTGTTCGTAAGTTCAAGACCAAGTTCAGCAGCAGAATGCGAAGTGTAAACAATGGAGTCACTATACATAAAGAATGCTTGAAAAGAAGATGAATGAATTGTATGCCTATATCAGTGGCAAATTGCTCTATGCATCAAAAATAATTTAAAAATTTTAATTTCCTACTAGGAAGATGAAATATTTGTTTTATAACTTTATCAAATTTTAAATATTTCTATTTTAAGTAAATATGACGGCTACATACCTAATGGTATTTCTTCACTGTATGATATATGACAAAACACTTGTTGGGGTGGAGTCATGGCTTCCTTGGACACGTGCCACAATAAAACGTTTCTCTCCAGTCTCCTTTCACTGTTATAAGGTTCACAAAGTCTTATGAGGAAAACTAGGATAGAACTAGTGCAAAGAAAAAGGCTTGAATGATATGCTGACTCTGTTTACCAGCCTCAGCTTGACTCCAGATCATGTATAAAATTTGTAAAACACGTGGCGGACTCAGTCTGACAGTGGACCGCAAAGGGTCAAAATATCTTTAGTTTGGAGATTGCTTAATTGAGTCCAGAAATTAAGTTGTTTTCTCAGAAAATGAATGAGAAATGGTGGGTAAGAAGTGAAGCCATGTCAGTGATATGTAAGTATGGAGTAATGGTGGAACAGTGATAGGCAGAGGAATACAAAAAGTTTTTGCTGCACTGTCCACTGCAAATTCATGGGTCTCCACAGTGACAGGCCTGTGTTTTAATTCATGCACATTTGTAGTTTCAGTGGTTCTTATGCTGATGTTTCAAGATACTGAAACACAGTAGCGTTAGTAGTGTTTATTCATCTGTTTCGTCCATGGATTATACTAACATGTACTTTGAAATGGTCGCAATCTTGGGTAATGATCTAAATGAGAAAAATTTGTGAATTAAACTTGGCAAATTATTTTAATTTACAATTTACCAATCTTGGTGGCTGTGAGCTGGAATAGTTCTAGCAGTAAAGTGTCTGTGGGCAGGACTACCAGGGTTTGATTCCTGGAAGGAATGAGGATTTTGATATCTTATTTTTATACATCACCTGTTTTCAGTGCATTTGGTCCATTAGTCCACAAGTTTCCAAATTCCATCAGGTTTTTTTCCTTCTCTCTTAAGCCATTCTTATACCATTCCTTTCAACAACCGATGCTCATTTTTGCTTATTCTTTGTCCCAAATCCAATACACTGATGATCTACTCCTAAACCTCAATACATATTAAAGTATATGATCACCTCAGTGCACATGACAACTATAACTACAGTTGTTGGCTATCATACTGTAATTCAATAAAATCCTCTCAGACAAATTTTGGGCTTCTGTCTAGAACTGACATGGCTTGTTGCCTGAGAGAATTTTATAGAGTTCAGTCACTATGAAAGCTTCATTTTATAAAAGAACCATCATTCATTTGTAAATTTGATAGTTTTGCACCCTCTGGCCACAGTTCATTGTTCTGTGGTGCATTCTATCACTGGATCAACCATGTTAAATCTGTCAATATTATCAATATTCGAAAGACTGTGAAAGTCAGTTATGAGCAAATCTGAAGATGGAGCAGTATGTTCCTCTGACATGCTGGCAACCACTTACAAGACTACACAGCATCGCAACCCAGGAGACTACAATCAACAAGTGAGGGAAAGTTAATATTTTTATATCTGCCATGTTTTTCAGTTCTGCCATCACTTTTTAAGTAAACAAAAACTGGCTTTACATTCTGATTTGTCATCATTTTAGTACAGACAGTTTTCAATCCTACCATTACTCGTGAGGTAAACTAAGAGTGTCTTAATTTTTTTTATCTCTGCTGTTATATGTAACACTAGTGTTAATGATGGTTTACTGTATACATCTTAAGTTTGAAGATTGTAGTTATAGTATAACAATTCATTTGATGGCTAGTGTCCAGTGACACTATGGTATGGTCTGTTGTGTGAACTTTCCTGGCCCATGCCATCATCAGGAAAACATAGAATCCAGCCTTGAGGAGGGATAATCTGTAATGCAGATTCCTTTACTTTCCATGTTCGGTCCCCCCAGGCAAATGCCTGGATAGTACCTTAAATTACGCCATGACCAGTTCCTTCTGCATCCTTTCCAATTCATTATAATCCTCTCATTTGACACTACATAGTCTGAGCTACTGAAAAGTGTTGTTAAATAAAAAAGTATAGATGAGCTGTCTGTACCATTATTCAGTCTGACTGCATATAACAAGGCAAGTTCTCTTGCCTGCTGAGAAAGCTCTCCATTGCAATGCCTGTATGGAATGTCTGTCAAATAATTCAAGTATTTTCTTATATTCTTACTGGATGTGCATTTTGTAAAGACTTGTATGGGTATATCCAGAGCAAACTTGAAATTCTGCTCACTGGGTGTTCCTATAAAAAATTCAGACTCTTACTCTGCTCAGAGTAGCAGAGACCAGGATAATCAAAGACATAAGTCACAACACATAACACTTCATAAATCTGAACAAGCAATTTCCCCATCAGTCCTTTAGTACTGTATTCTTTTTATTATATGCATATGTGTTTCAGCTCTAATGAGCCACCACCAGTTCACCAGTGCACACATACTGTCGCACAAAATGCATGCTAACAATTGAACTGCTTTGGGGACCTGGTGGTCTTGGGTCGTGAGTTTGTTTCCTGTTTAAATGTGTGTGTGGAAAAGTAAAGTATACCCCTCCATGGTTTTGAGTCAATATTAAATTGCGTCCTGTCTAGTGACCATCATAATCACCCAAACATGGAAATTTATATACTTGCATTTTATTTAATGACACTTTTTCAGTACCTCAGACTATATAGTATTGAATGAGAGGATAGTAAATAATGAATAGGAAAGGATGTGGTTATGGCCTAATTTAAGGTATTATCCTGAAATTTGCTTGGAGGGACTAAGTAAAATCACAAAAGAGTCCAGTCAAGATAGCCAGTCTCCAGGCTGAGATTTGAACCTGTGACCTCCCAAATATGAAGCAGGAGTGCTAACCACTTGACCATGACGTTCGGTAACAACTCATCTAAGATACGAGTGTGTGTTCGTAAATTTCTCAACTGTGGTGCACTGTAATATGCATTTTCTGATGCTGACACAAGGAAGAAGAGCAGCCAGCAGCAGGGACTGGAGAACAGGATAACCTACAGCTCACCAGGATGACATGATTAGGAAATTTTCCATACCCACAGTGCCAGAAATTAACCAATCACCTAGGCCACACACACCTCAGGACTATAAAATGCAATTGAAATAATACATTAAAGAAAAATAGATTTTTATTAAATACAAATTTGTCATTGTTTCTCTACATTATTCTTGTTTTTGATTTTCTCTTCCTCTTTACATGAATGACACCAGTCCTTGTTCAGAGCTGAAAGAGATTAAAATCATAATGAACACTTATGGCACTTTTAGACAATATTAGCCGTCATAGTTTAATCGGTTAATCTACACACACACAATAATTCAATTTATTTTCATTTGTAAAGAAGCAGACTCCTTATATTGCTTCTAACTTGAAAATATATTTTGTTAAAAATACTTTGTACATTAGAAGTTTTTTCTGTTTCATGACATAAGACAAATTTTATTGTCTCCTATATAATACTGCTTTGTTATGTGATTGATTGGAAAAAAAAACCTGAATCAGAATTTCCTGGCTAAATGGCATAATTATCATATTTCATACCTCTAATGTAGGCAGTAAAACTGACATTTTAATTTGTAAATAGTATGGACCGCTGTTCTTAAGTTCTGTTGAGCGGGATGATGAGCCTTCAGTATGGCACTTCATTAAGCAAACAAGCTTAACAAATGTCATTGTTGGTCTTATAAATTGTTATGCTATGTGGAGTTGTAGGTGGATACCAAAATTTTGGAGAAACATACTACCTCCAATTTTGGCCCTTAAGATGGTGGCAGTGTAGACAACTAAGAGTGAGCACAACTTAACGTGTAAAGTGACAATATCTAATTCATGCCAGAATATACAGTACCTTCCAGCATCTCCAAATTATCTGCTAGTGTTTCAAGGTCTTTGCGAACAAACTGCAGCATCTCTAAACAGTGGCCCATATCAACCGTCATTTGTTTTAGGGTTTCAAACTCTGCTACCAGGTTCTCCTAGAATACCATAAAAGTGTTGATCTTGGTCTTCAAGGTTGTAACACCATGTTCACTTGTGGGTAGATACCATGTTCAACTGCAGATTGTAGGTAGTATGTCCCTTCAACTACACCTATAGCGTCGACACTGCAATACAGTCTAGAAGGCGAACATGACACCTTCACCACCCTCACAAATCACAGTATAACAGTAATTATAAGTCAATAGTTTGACTTTTACATGTAAATATAGGAAAGTTAAATTTCGCATGCAAAACAAATATAATAATAATATGTATTAAAATTGTTGGACATAACCTCAAGTACCGTCATCCTCATTGTCCTACCAAAGCACTGGATATAATTCATGTGGAGTTATACATGTACAAAGTGGAATGTGAATGTATAAGATAAATTATGTCATCTACCTTTGTTTTAGCGTTTCTCATTTTAATGTTATTATTTTAGTCATACACTTCACCCGCCTAAAACCCTCATCTGCCATTGATGAAGGTCTGGATGTATAGTCGAGTGAGAGAGGGGGGGGGGCTATTTTGCGACATCTATCCGCAGCGCATCAGAGTTAACTAGAATAAAGTACGCACTAATCATAACAGATGTCTAATGTATAAATTCGGGGTGAGAACCATGTCGAATATTTGGTTTTAAACAACGTATCGGCAAACATTGCATTGAACTCCGGAAAACCTACGGACAAAAACCACAACAGCTATCTGACTAACTCTCTGGTAGCAGAAGCCGCAGATCTAACACCACCGAACATGATCCTGAGCCAACTCCATCTATTTACCATCCTTCTTGCCCGTTCCCCAAGATCTATCTTGATATTATCCTCATATCTCCTTCTTGGTCTGCCCAGTGGGAGCTTTCTAAAAGGATTTCCCACAGAAATTCTGTAATCACACCCGCTCCATGCTACACGTTAAACCCATCGTAGCCTTCTAGATTTCACTATCCTTATTATGCTAGGTGTTCTATACAATTCACGCAGCTCCTCGTTATGTGATATTCTAAATTCCCCACTTATTTCACTTTTCCTTGGTCCAAGTATCTACTTGAATACCTTGTTTTCTAACACTTGCAATCTGCGTTCTTCCTTCAGGGTAAGAGATTACGTTTCACAACCATACAAAACAACAGGCAACATTATTGTTTATGTATCCTGATCTGACGTCTGACGATTTTAATAGAATTTAGCCGGTGACGACTCTAAACTCATGCTTTGCAACCTCTAACAATCGGTCCAACTTGAAAGTTGCTTGTTCGAGAGGTTGAATGATGATTTTACCCATGATGCTCAGTGTATGCACGTCCTTTCCTGAACACACTAACCTAACGTAACCTTAACTATCCACCTGTAATATCCGTCGAAACGTATTAAAAACCAGAGAATGGCGGGACGAATTTTTGTGGAATCTGTTACAAACGTTTCACAGTTTATAAGGTTTAAAGTACCATAACTGTAAACTTGCCTGTTGTTTTTATGGTTATGGAAATTGGTCTGTTATACTAAATTGAAGACATAGATTGACAATGTTTGAGAACACGATGTTTTAGAAAATATTTAGATGCAAGAGGGATTACGTGACAGGATACTTGAGAAGGTTAATAATGGAAAAGCAGTAACGCTGTCCCACTACACACCATGTAGGTCCTTTTGGGGGGAATGGAGGTATATCTCCTACTCATTCTTGACCTCGGCACTAGATGGGGGTGAGTAATCAACATCATGCCACGGCCGCGTTTTACACCCGGGAAGGGACCCCAGTACCCATTGGATAGGAGGCTGGGTGGGCCCCACAGCCGGTCTGGACACAGAGGCTAGAGGAAAAATCCTCTGCTCATAATGGAACATTTCATAATTCATACTTTTCACCAAACATTAGAGCAATCAAATTATAGGTAATGAGGTGGGAAGGTAATATAGCATGCGTGGTAGGATGGTTGTATGGATGATGATTAAATTCTATTATCTCTGACTTATTTCCTGCAGTCATTGATCGCATGGTGTACATCGACCTCGTGCGTGACGTAAACACAAGTCACTGTAGGAGGGATTTGTTTTTGTTTGGGATGAATCCACCAATCCTGATGTAGCATGATGAGACGATCTTATTTATTGGTTCGAAGTGTGTTTGTTACCTTCTCACTGTCACCAGGGCACCTTATTAAACGAGGTACGCAATCACAACTACTTTCGTGAGCAATTCAAGTTACACATCCATGTATTAACCCGCGTTGGATGTCAAGAATGGACCAGTTTTACGCAAAATCGCCAAAATGTGTGTGGATGAGAAGTGCGTGTGCATCGTCCAATCAGAGACTCGTTTAGATGTGTAGAGCCTCGGAAAATATTTAGTCTGGTATTTGGATTCTTTGTTGACCTTCGGTTTTAGTAGGAATATTTCTAAACAAAGGAAGTACCACGAATTACCATCATGATACACACCAACAGAAATAAACTGGAGGTAAGATGGTATTAAAATCCATGGTCATTAATTATTATATTAGAACTATGTGGAGAATAAATGTGCTGCTTCTACTCGATCGACATCCGCCATTCCCAGGGCCGAGTAAACAGCTGATTTTGAGACGAAGGTAGGCCTGTGCCAAGGTTGCCTCGTCGTTGAACGTAGTGGCCTATCGAACGTTCATTTTCAGTTAAAATGATAACAGTTAGCTACTTTTAAAGGTCTAGATTGTCAGTTACTCTTAAGTAGTGTTGCAGCTTCGAAAAGGTAACGCTAAAATTACGATTATGTAGTTTTGTGCTGGACGTGCCGTGGCCTTGATGGTCCATGTTCTCGCCTCCTTTGTTGTGACACATGGGGCAATTGCCTTTTCGAATTATTTCTAACTGAATTGATGTGACGATAGTTATAATTTTTTAAAAAATAATTATGCACACACAAAATGGAAGTATTTGTATCAAACTCGTAAATTTTTGTGTGAGATTTTACTTTTCCTTCAGTTTAATGTTTCACAATTGGATTTGATATTTTAAATCTTTATTAGTCCTGTGTTTTTTGTTTTTTGTTTTATTTGTTTTTGCGCAGGCTGCGGTGAGACCTTGGTGGGTGCCATCTGTTGGCCGCAACAAGAAAGAGCGATCTAATTTCTCAGTGTGCACTATGAAGCAAAGCTACATGCAGGTACAAACAACTCTGTCTGTCGCTAACACTTCTTGCTTTGTAACAACCCATCTGCCCACTTTTCTGTTTGCAATGTGTGTGATGACGTCGAACTGTAGGCTGACACTGTGTTACAATTGTCCACCTAGAATGAAGGTAGATTTATCCATATTTTTGAAGCTGCAACATTGCTTGTATTTATTGGTGGGAAAATGGTACATTCTACTTTTGTGAAGTGCCTGCAATTTGACAGGAGGGTAAGTAGCAGTGAGAACAGACTGGTGCTTGAGCCATGTGCCAGAAGCAATGCAGAACTGTATTATTCTTGTTCACAGCTTGCCAGAGTCTTTTCGGATGATGATGCCCAGATCAACAAGAAGTTGCCAAAAGAATTGCTGCTTAGGTGAGTTAGTTTACTTGGACATCAGTTTAATGAACTGCATTTGCTAACATGAATGCATCATATTCTGAAGCTGTGGTGTTGAAATTCGAGACTAACTGTTGTTTCAGCTCCACTTAGTGCTATGAAGCCAGGGTTTGACAATTGTAAATAAGATTTTTTGAGGTTTTGTCATATCCTTTATAAGAACTGGTAGAGTGCTTTAGATTATGACTGCTCTCTTCCTATGTCACATGTTGGAATTCATCTCTCTCCAACATTTCCATTAGTCTGGGCAAAGAAGTATGGAATGTTTTGATCCGAATGCCCTTTATGTGATATAAAAATATTTTTACTTTCATACCAGTAATGTTAGCTAAAAGTAGAATCAACAACAATAGTGCAAAGAATATGAGCACATGACATGTTTAATGGAAGTGATTGGTGCATGGTGTGACATTTATTGTTGTTATTATTACTGTCATTATCATTGTCATTGTCATTGATGTATCTTTGCAATTCAGTTATGAATAAGTCACTTTTCTGTTGCTCATGTGGATCATTGTGATGGTTACTGTAGTTCTTGAAATATCTTTTTCTTGTTTGCACATACTTTTATAAAGTTTTGGAGATGGACAAACCTAAAACACATGGGTGATGTTGGTGTTTAGACACAGCTAAGTAGGACATTACAGTGATGGACATTGTCCAAAATAGTTATCATGTTTTATGAATGTAAAGTTTTGCATTTTATTTCCATAAAGATTCTCTTCTGGCTTTCTATATCAATCACTAGCAGAAGAATGACATGTTATTCCCCTGTGTCTATCAAGAGTTAATCCTGTCAGGACAGTTTGTTGTAAGATTGGGGATGATAAATAACAGATTCAGAGTCTGAAGACTAAGAAAAAAGAAATCTAAGAAACCTTTGTAAAGATCTACAGACGTATTAATTTACATAGACAATGCAACATAATCTAGATCTATGCCATACATATTTCTGGTTTAATTATAACCATATTAGAGCTATTGGTTTGTGTATGGAAACTTTGAAAGATGTGTCTTAATGTGTGATATCAGTTCTTCATTTCAAGAATTTAAAAAGGTTTGAATCAACATAGAGAGGTCAGATTTTAAATCCATGTTTCATGTAACATCAGTATAATTAATACAGATTATACTGTCAGATTTGACTCAGCATCTTTGAGAATGTTTTTCAGATTAAATATGTGAAGAAGAAATAAAGAAATGTACTTTTATTTTTAAGAAATGTTGAAAAACAATTGTAATTGTCTGCTTAAGTTGAAGTGACATTGGAGAGTAAGTGCAACTTTGAATGTTTACTCCTTCAAAATTTATTTAATTTGTGCCTAACAATGATGTAAGAAGGGGAGGGTGTTAAAATGTTTGGAGCTTTGAAAAAGTAATAATTTCCAAATGTGCTAGCAGTAGTCAGTATTTCGCTTATGTTTTCTTCAGTATTACTGCACATTTGCATTCAGAATGTGTGGACTTGGTGATATTGAAATTAATTGCATGAATTTTATTCATAAAGAAATTAAGTAAGAACAGGCTAAATTCAAGGAATGCTTGGTACCAGTCCAGGCTATATCATATTTTTGTGTATTATTAATATGGCTTTATTTTGGTGTCTTACTTTAATGACTCTGAATCAGCTTAATTATTTAGCATAAAATGAGATATGGTAAGTATGAACTTTGTGAATTGTGAGGGATATGAAGGAAATTTCTGTGACCGCATTTTACCTGTTGCTAGGTGAGTTATTCTGAGGACACTTGTACAAATTTGTAGTTTATTTAACTATGCATTTCCAGTAGCTCAGACTATATAATAGGATGATAATGATGAATCAGAAAGGATGTAGAAGGAAGCATTCATGGCCTAATTTAAGGTACTATATTGGCATTTGCTTGGAGGGACTGAGGAAAACCATGAAATCCTCAGCCAGTTTCCAGACCGAGGTTTGAACCCGGGATCTCCCGCATACGAACCAGGAGTACTAACCACGCGACCATGACATTCAGTGACAGATACAATTATGAAGGGTTTGAGTATAACTATGAAACATCCAGTCTCTTTATGTTCTTCCCAAATGCAAGGTGAGTGTTTTGTTTCCTTTCCTTGCTGATTTCTTAGCTTTCATCCTTCCTTTGCACTACCTGGATATTGTGAACTGTGATAATCAATCATTACTGTCAGATGGACATGTGTATTGTATGCTCCTTATGGATAAAAATATTTCCAGTTGTACACTGTTTTGAAATTCCAATGAGATTGAATTTTCTGAGTACATCATGCCCGTTTTAAGATTAAATCATGGTGTATACTTTAGTGGGAGGCCTAGATAAATTGCTGAATCATGTCTGAATAGCTAACTACAAGTTTTCATGCAATTTTAAAGTAATATATTGTCATTCTGAAACAGTGCATTTCTTGCAGGATATTTTCATACCTAGACGTTGTATCATTGTGTCGATGTGCACAAGTCTCCAAGGCCTGGAATGTTCTTGCACTTGATGGCAGTAATTGGCAGCGGATAGACCTTTTTGACTTTCAAACTGATGTTGAGGTATGAAGACAAAGAAACTGTGTTGAATTGGTGGCAGTAACATATTTATTTTATTCTAGAAATAAATATTTAAGACCAAGGCTTTATATGGGTCTTTGGTACAAGAGTAAGATTTGCAAAATTTGCACCTTCCATAGGGTCCAGTCATTGAAAACATTTCTCGTCGATGTGGAGGGTTTCTGCGCAAGTTGAGTCTGCGTGGCTGTCAATCCATAGCTGATGGTTCCATGAAGACGTTTGCTCAGTTGTGTAGCAATGTGGAGGACCTAAACCTCAATGGCTGTAAGAAGATCACAGACAGGTCTCTGTTTTTGATACAGCATTTAATATGTATTGTTTAGAAAGATGCATTTAATTAACTACACTTTCAGCACCTCTGGAGAAGTTGAGAAATGGGCTGCGAAACATAATGATTAGCCAACTGACTCCATGGTGTGGGTATTTTGAGAAGTTGAGTTACTAAGCAGATGGAATTGAAAATTTCATCACTGTTTCTGAGTCTTCTCATCAAAATATTGTGTTTATTTTTCATTTGACTTCATCACTATGCGATGTACAAATTATGCAGCTAATGAACATTTCTCTGTTAATTTGTTACTTCTCCTACGTCAACATTTTTTCTTTAATTAGAAACAACTAATATTTGCTCCTTGTTTATAGTAGTAGTGAAGCGTGTAGCTCAGCTGTGCCATAGCTCAGGCTGGCTTGTCACTGCATACACCCTTCTTCATGGCCACGTCAGTTCACATGTGATTGATTTGTAGTGGACAAAGTGGCACTGGGTTGGGTTTTTCTTTGAGCTCTTCAGTTTTCCTTTGTCAGTATCATATCACTGCTGTACCACATTCTCTCATGTTTCTTCTGAAGGGTGAACATAGGGCCCAGTACCATGGAAGCTCAATCTCACTCTGCACAACAGTTAAAAAAAAGCTGTAGCTAGACCAACACCTGTATAGCTACAAGAGAAGTATAGTGGGTGAATAAGATTATGATTGCTATAATTCTTTCTTTATTTTTTATTAAGTATAATTTTAAAGGGTTAATTTAGCTTTAGGTGAGTGTGATATTTACCTTCTTTTACATTTGATCCATTGGTGAAATTGAAGCTACAATTTTTGTAAATACTCTTTGAGTTTGCATCAGAATATTGAGAATAATTGTACTCCTGATTTTTCATGTGCAGTACCTGTCAATCGCTGAGCCGCCACTGCCCTAAGCTGCAGCGCCTTGACCTTGGCTCCTGTTCAGCCATCTCTGATCTCTCGCTCAATGCCCTTGCTGATGGCTGTCCTTCTCTTACCCACATAAACATATCTTGGTGTGACCACATTACAGAAAATGGTGAGTCATTTGTAGGTAGTGTTGTTAGTGCTTAACTAGCTCTCTGGTAGAAGAACTTAAAGGTTCAACAGTCTTTCAAGTGGTAAATTTGCATGAGGTTCCTCGAGAAGATTGCCATTCATATCTTGTCTCTCCCTCCAGTGTACATATGCTTCCCATCATAGTTTCTTAAATACCACTGTCCCAACAATACTAATTGACTGCTGTCACTACCCTGATAATAGAGGACCTGTATGGATCATGAAGTTCCTTACTGAGTTTTTAGGTTCTCAGAGTATGAAGATGACTGTCTGCTGGGTCTTTGAGCCGTGAGGCTGGTGGAAGTGCACTATGTGATGACTGCCATGTTGATGGATGCAACAAGCACCTCTGTAACATCAGTAAACTTCTCCCACACTACACTGTGCAACAACCCAAAAGACAAGCGTCTTCTTAAAGTTCCTTTTCATGTAATGTATTAAACTACCCACTTCATCCTACTTAGATTCAGATATCTTTTGGAACATTTTATCTTCAGAGGACCTTGCTTAACAACCATACAAAACTGAATGCTCATTTTGGAAAGCAAATGTTATGTTAACAGTTGTTACTGAATAATAAAATTTGTGGGCTGTAAATGCAGAGAAATGTAATTTTCTGTATCATAGTGTTAGGCTGTAGCCTCTATGTCAGTGTTTTCAGCTAAAGTGCTGAGAGTACTGATGACGAAGGTCCATCTTAACATTATCCTCCCACCTATGCATAGGTCTTCCCAGTGGCCACCTCCCTTCAGGCCTCTCAACCAAACTGGCCTTCCCTCCCCTATGCATGCTCCATGTCCTGCCCACCCCATCATCCTTGATTTAATCACCCTACCAGTATCAGGTGAAGAGTACAGGCCGTGAAGTTTATCATTATGCAATTTTTTCAATGATCCGTCTCCCTCCCTTTTAGATCCAAATATCTTCCTCAACACTCTGTTCTCAAAGACCCTCAATCTATATTCCTCCCTCAAAGTGAGAAACCATGTTTTGCACCCATACAGCACAGCGTGAAAATTTATACTTTTGTGGTGTATTTTTTTTTAATGTGAGATGCAAGGGCAAAAGATTTCTCTACATTTAATCTGCTCTTGATTTTATCATGAATGCCATTCTCACTTGTTAATGTCATCCCCAAGTACTTGAATTTTGCCACATTTTCAAAAAATTCATTAGCTATCCTTATGTTGTGGTTCTGTCCTGAATTCTGATGCTGAGACATGATCATGTACTTTGTCTTTTATGCATTTAGTTCTTGACCAAAATCCCTACTAGCCCTTAAGAGTGTTTCTGTGTTCACTTTTATAGTATTTATATTATCTCCCAACAGATTAATGTCATCAGCTGATGTGTCCCATTCAATTCCAAACCACCCTGATTTTCTTAAACTTTCCTGAAGGTATATCGTAAGGCACAAATTTTGCTAGAGGTTCCATTTAAACACATTTTAATTAGCCTAACTGGCTTCTTAGGTACATCAAATTCAAGTGAAATACAGTGTATACACAAAAGAATGGTGCGGTTTCAAAAGTTAATAAAAAATTTATTTCTCACCTTACACGGGCACAACATACACCGTCAGCGACGGCAACTGTCCAAGTTTCTCATGCGTTAATTACAATCCTTCAGTGTGTGCACCCTGGGTCACACGACATACATCCACACAGTAATCAAACTCATCCCATCCAGCGCTGTGGAAAAACACAATTGAGAAGCACTCGTACATTCCTGTGAAAATGGGGGGGAGCTCCGTCCAGTTGTAGAATGTAATCGTCATAATTTGTATTCAGTTGGGGTAACAACCAGCTTTCCAACATGTCCAAAAATGAGTTGCCAGTCACAGTTGCACCATTCTTTTGTGTATACCGTGTATTGTAAAGGGCTTCTCTGTTAACTGAGTCATAGGCTTTCTTGAAGTCTGTAAAAAGTCGATGGACTGTCCCATTATACTCCCACCTTTTCTCTAGTATCTGGCGAATGTAGAAAATTTGATCAGTTGTACGTCTATTATAATCGAACCCACACTGATGATCCCCAATAATTTAATTAGCATATGGAGCCAACCTTGCCAGAAGAATGCTGGATAAAATTTCATAGGCAGGTGATAAGAAGGAGATATCTTGATAATTATTACAATCACCCTTCTTAAGTATTGGTACATTAATAGGTACGCCACGGTGTTCTAGCGGTTAGAATGCTGGCCTTGTAATCCTGGCGTCTCGGGTTCGATTCCCGGCGGTGCCCGAATTTATAACTTGTGTTGGACAAGGCCATTTTCACCTTGGTGTGGTGTGGGGGGCTTGTGTGTCCCGATAACCCCGAGAGCTATGCCGGCGGTAGCTTTGCTACCGGTAGGGCCTCTCAAGCCGGACAGGTCAAGGGTAGGGACCAGACTAAGAGAAATACCCTGGTCCTCCAGGTTGGGGGTTGGATCGTAGGGCCGACACCCCTACATCTGTAAAAATGATATTTGTTGAGAAGCCTCTAAAAAAGAGAGGAGGCTAGGGCTCGATTTTGGGCTGTTACGCCATAGTAGTAGTAGTAGTAGTAGTTGGGCAAGGCCGTGGTCTAGGCAACACAGAGTTTTCCTCCCGTGACTTCCCTGGTTTCTCTGTGGCATCGCAACAATTACTCCATTCACACACAGAAGAAGGTAATGGCAAACCACTTTTGCATCATCTGCCAACAACGTATATGATCAGGTCCCAGTCCGAGAGAAGGGTGGAAGGATCTTGTTCATATGGATCTGTCGTCAGACAGAACACTAAATAAAATATAAAATACATTAATAGATTTCTTCCACTGCTATGGCATTTCCTCCTTATTCCTTATTGAGCAAACAAGTTCGTGTATTTTGGAACACAACATTTCACCTCCTGCTTTAATTAATGTGGCCGGAATCTGGTCAGTACCCAGGGATTTATGCTTTTTCAGCTTCTCAGTAGCAGTTTTGTTTCTCTGCCCATATACACTATTTATCTGAAACTGTTATTTTTAACCTATTTCTGTCAATGAAGTAATGCCTGAAGTGCATGAAGAAGTTTAAAAGGCTTTGAAGAGTGCAACGCAGCAGGTCACACATGGTACCATCGAGAAATGTTATAACCGAGCGTAGAACGCTGTAGAAGTGTGTAGGTACTGACAAACAGTATTATGAAAGTAACTGGAAGTATCACCAGATTCTTGCCCTGGAATTTTTTGAAGCCACCATGTGTATTACAACATTCTTTTATCCTGAAAATTAGGAAAACTGCTTTTCCACGTAACTTTTCTATAAGAATTTCCAAGATTGTAAAAATCAATCACTAATTTTTTGACATGGGAAGAAAACAATGCTTTGATTAAATACTTACTCTCTTTTCCAAGGAAACTGAATTAAAATGGCATTATTATAGACTGCTTATGACTCAAGTAATCACGTGTCCCATTTTTGGTATCAGCAGTGCTGCCCTTAGTGAGATTGTTTATCTTATCAGATATTGTATGCTCAACACTTAAGCACCACCTAGTTAGGTGCATTTGCATCCCTTTTGAGCACCTATTAAAATTGTTTTGTCTATCTGTCTGTGCTTATGTAACAAATTAGGAAGGTCTGAACAGATTTTAATTAAATTTGATATTGGTGAGTTTTGGTAAAATTTGCATACCTAATTCTGGTGAAAATCGTGCAATAATAATGAGCATATTGCATGAATTTTTGCATGTGTTTCTACACTCCAAAGTGACTGGGTGGTGAATTAACCAGCCTTTCATAAAGATCGGGGAATTCTGACATGCAGAATCCCTAGCAAGAAAATTCCCTGTTTATTAACAGATTTCAAATTCTGGTAAATGTACCATAATTGTTATGCCATGTGTACATTTGGACTTGCTTTAGTTTTCCATCAGATTCAAAGTCTGTTTCAACATTTGTAGGAATATGCTGCTTGCTGATTCCAGGTGCAGAGGCTCTGTCTCATGGGTGTCCGAAGCTCAAGTCGTTCATAGCCACAGGTTGTCTTCAGATTAATGACAAGGCAGTGAGCTGTTTAGCTCACCACTGTCACTTCCTAGAAGTCATCAACTTGCATGGATGCACGGTGAATTCCTTTGTTCTTGTTGCTGTGTCTAACCAGGTTCCTGTACAAAATATGCAATAAAGCCTGCCAATAAGAATAAAAGACCAGCTACTAACAAAAGCTGATAAAAAATTAATATTTTTGTAATTTTATCTATATTAAAGGTTTAGAAGTGCACAGATTTTAAAGAAAACATGACTTTGTGAAAATTTACACCACAGGATTTGTATAATTGTAAACTCAAAGTCAATGTGAGATAACTGACAATATTTATTATTAATTCTGAATTTAAAAAGAATGCATATTTCAAGTATGGATTATACCTTTCCAGTCTTGTTTATTTAAGTTACCTATTGTTTTTATTTTAGTTTCAGATATCTTGAAATACTTTTAATATAATATTTACAGGTTCATATATCCATGATAGTTTTTGATATTTTTTATACCACTGACATACTCCTTTAAGGTTGATCTAATATTTTATGTGGCTATTGTACCTGGGTGGAAGATTGAACCTACCCTAAGAAATAAAAACAACTTCTTTTATTTATTGAGATGTGTGTTTTTGTTCTAATTTGTATGCCTTTTTTGAAGTCTTGTATATAATATGTGTTGCAGGATATCCAGGATGAAGCAGTACAGCAGCTTGCTGAGAACTGTTCACGTTTACACTATCTATGTTTATCAGGCTGTTCTCACTTGACTGACACATCACTCATTGTCCTTGCACAGCAGTGCCACATGCTGAGCACCATTGAGGTGGCTGGCTGTTCACAGTTTACAGACACAGGCTTCCAAGCGCTTGCCAGGGTGAGTTCAAGATATTTGGGCAAATGTTGATTGTAATAGAAGTAATATTTGCCTGTCTTATAATATTCTGCAAGGTACCTCAGCCTCGGGGTTTGCAGTGGCTGCGCTGTCTGAGGCATGGGCCTTCTGCCGCTTGGTCGCTGGGACTGTGGGTTCGAATCCCACTCAATCCATGGATGTTTGTCCGCATCTTTCTGTGTTGTGCTGTTCTGTGTACAGGTAGAGGCCTTGCAACGGGCCTATCCCTCGTCCGAGGAGTCCTACCAAATGTCCATAGATCAAGCCAGCGAAAAGTTGGGACCCGCAGTGCTCAGGCATTTGAAGAACGGGTCGTTCCCAGTATCCCTGTACCCCAGCCTCTCTTTTCTCAGTGGTCAATTTTAACCCTTTTGAGCGGGGATTTAAATTCCGCGCTGCTTGGCGAGGAGTGGTGGCCATTTAAATTTTGCTCTAAAACACTTTATTTATCATAACGTTTGAACTATATAACATATAATGATCAATTCTTCACTGAAACCCTCTTAAAAGATGGTTTTATAATTTCAGCGTATAATATGAACATCCTGTGTGTGAGAAATGCTAGTAGTCGATTAGACGTCGAGTGTTGTACGTAATTTATTGAAACGTCAGAAAAAGTCAACGCTACCGAAATACATAGTTTTTATCTTTTTCTAGCGGTTCCTGCACATGACGCAATGTCTTTGAGGCATTGAATTTCTTTCCTCTGTCAATAATACGCGGGAGTAAATATGTCTGCGCCAGCTGATATTCTGACAGCGAACTGAAGGCCACATATATGCATCATACTTAGCAGTTATAACCGTCTCTTTCTAAGAACTCTTCTGAATATTATGGAGCCCCTTGACCGTTTCAGATAATTTTTTTTCCTCTCTACTTCGCTGGAGCAGTTATCGTGTCATATGAGACTGAGAGAATGAGTTATCTTACCTCTACAAACAAACAGCTCAGTGTTCTTTGGAAGATTGTGTAACCTCTTAGGTCATGCAGTTATTCACAGACTAGCCTTTAGAGATCCAAGAATGCGACGTTGCCAATACATGATCAGAAAGAGCATTTTTTCCACACCAGATCAACTACAAACATCATATATCAGTCGTTATTATTTCCATAATTATGGGCTTTTGAAATTAGGCTTAACGGCAGACCGGGAATTTAAATGCCAGGACGATCCTGGACGTCGTCCGCCCGGGACAGGTTAAGAATTAAATATTACATTTTTAGTTACATTCATCCTGCACAGGCTTGTTTTCTCCCCACATTTTCACAACGATCCATTTTATATCCACAGTACTTTTTTCTGGTGGAAATTTCACTGTATAATTGTTTTCTATTTGTCTATCACCATGTGTAAGCTTCACAAATACTGTATTTTCTTTGTGCTACCAGTTTCTAGTTTCTTTAGTATATCAGTTAATAATTAATTTAATCTAAAATCATGATCATACACATTTCATAAAAATGATTAAATCTGCATGGCGCCAAATTCTCTTGCTTTCATGAGGTCTCATGATTATGCTACATAATTTTTTCAACTTCTTTTTAATAGGCCCAATTTCTGTAAATGTTTTATGTTAGTGTGTTTATAGGTACATCAGCTATTCTGACTATTAGTGCAATAATTTCGTAAAATATAGCTGTTCAGGTGATTAACATACAAAATCACATGTCTAGGCTCATTCCAGTTGCTGCACTAGCAGCTCTGACTGTCACTGACTTGCAATTACAGAGTTGTCGGTTACTAGAGAAGATGGATCTGGAAGAGTGTGTGCTGATAACAGATGCAACTCTAATCCACCTGGCAATGGGATGCCCTCGTCTGGAGAAATTGGTTAGTCATCACATTTTTATTTGGTGTCACTTCCTATGTTGTTCCTAGAACTACGTTGAAACAAGTTTTCACACATTACACTCTTCAGGTTTTTACAAAGTTATCTGTTAGGTTACTTAAACACTATATAATGGATATGTGTATGTATCCCTTTGATAACTCTCCGAGACCACTTACAGGAACTTGTGTTGCCATTACAGGAGTCTGTGTGGTTAGATTTCAGTTTAAAAGTAAATTTTAGTAGTACTTGGGGGTGTTTTTTCAACTACCTATAAATCTGGAGAAAATATCTTCAGATTTTATGAGAAAAGGACATTTTAATAGGTCTTAGTAAAACAAAAGTGTATGGTCACATAACCAGAGCATTCTATTCACAGGCTGCAGACTTACATTCATTAAGAGAAGAAATGTTCCTGTCATTCAGTGAACCAGTTATCTTCTGCTTATTTATTACAGGATATTTGCTTAGTATTTCAGTGATATAATGAGATGCTTTTGCTAAAATTAGGTATCTGATCCATTTCTGATATCCTTAATTTCTATTTTGTCATGACATTTGATATTATACTTTTTAATTATGTTGCATAAAATTGTAACTTCAGTTTTCATGGATAGGCCATATCGAATTTTGATAGTTCTCCAACATTTTGGGAATCATTGTAGTTGCTATCTTCAGGGTTAAGATGGCAACCTGTCCCTGAAAACCACAGTTACTCATTGAGTTCCAGTTGCATAAATTTATGGACAAGAATCCTCAATCTGTATTCTTCCCTTAGAGAAGGGGTTTTCAACATTTTAAGACCTGAAGCCACAGTCATCCTTACAGTTTGTATCCCACTGAGTTATAAGCGAGGTAAGTTTATTAAAAATTTATGGCATGGCAATTTGTTTACTGTTATAAACACATTTACATTTTCTTAGATTTATTTAACAGACTTATTGATTTGTTATTTTTATTAATTATTCAATTCAAACTGAGTATTCAACTTCAGCAGCAACTTCTTTGTTGTACAGAGTGATGCAGGCTACTTGTGGCTTATGGGTCATGAGTTTAGAACCCCTTCCCTTGTGTGAGAGAATAAGGTTTCACATCCATTTATGTAATATTAAATGTTAAAAAGAAACCCAACTTAAAATGTGATATTATCACTTCATTGAACCTGAACGTAATGGTTATTTGTGTATCAGGATTTACTGCAAGTCAACAGATAATACTGTTACCTTTCATGTCACAGAGTCTGTCCCATTGTGAGCTCATTACGGATGAGGGTATTCGCCACCTGGGGACATCCCCTTGTGCAGCTGAGAATTTGACAGTTCTAGAGCTGGACAACTGTCCCCTAATCACTGATGCTTCCTTGGAGCACCTCATTTCATGCCATAATCTTCAGCGCATTGAGCTGTACGACTGCCAGCTTATCACACGTGCTGGAATACGGCGACTCAGGGTATGCTTTGTGTTGCTACACTATAATTTAAGACTTTTATTATGTACTTGGAGAATGAAGTGTTTGTGTTAAGAAAGAAGAAATCTGTATTGCCAGCAATTCAGGAATTATGAGTTGCATGCTGGGAATATTGTGTTCAACCATATGAATGTCTTTTCTCTGGAACTAGCTGAACATCGTGGCTGAGTGGTTAACACTCCTGCTTTGTATTCAAGAGGTCCTGGGTTCAAGTCTCAGTCTGGAGACTGGCTATCCTGGCTGAGGATTTTGTGGTTTTTCTCAGTCCCTCCAGGTACATGCCACAATGGTATCTTTAATTAGGCCATGACTCTTTCCTTCCATATCATTTCTTATTCATTAATGATCCTATTGTTATTGCTATATTGTCTGAGCTGCTGGTAGCGTCATTAAATAAGCCACAAATAGATAAATAACATCTCTGAAACAGCTGAATAAATTTAATGAAGTTAGTAATGAGTTCTACATCAAAAGCATCAGTAAAATTTTATTTGGTCTGTGTCAGACCAGTATAACTTCTACTTTTCTTGAAGCTAAGTTTGATATTTATTGATTTTCTCAAAAGTAGCCCATTATAGAAATTACTGGTAAGTGACATAAAATATAGATCCCATTATAATGTTCTATAACTTTCATTTGAAATATTTTTCAGTGTGATCAATATTTAACAAAATATAATTTCTAATTCTCTGCAGCATGATTAACTTTTCAAATATAGATTTTTATCTGCAGTAAATGAACATAAGGTCAGTACATTCAGTATTCACAGTGGTAAATAATGCCTTTGTTAAAATATGCACTCAATTGGAATATGTCTCACTTTTACATCATGATGCATCTCAAGTCTCACACTCTATGGCCAGCATATAAAATTGTGTGCATGAATGTAGAATGATTTTGAAACTTCTTTGGCAGCATTTTTGTTACACAGGAATGACTCACAATGTTAATCCCACAGACCAAATTCCTGTGAGGTGTCAGTTCTCTCAGATCTTACTTTTTAATGTTCATTTTATGTCATGTCAGTCACTAAATCAGTTAATGATGTCTTGGCCAGCAGAATCACCTGCCTAACATCAAGGTGCATGCATACTTTGCTCCTGTGACACCCCCACCCACTGCTGGTGGGTCCAGGCAACGCTACTGCCGCTGCTGTGTCATCTTGTGAACTAGTTGTTCCTAACACATCGCACAACAGGACCAAAGTGTTAATGTGCAGAACATTTCTGCAAACAACTGAAAACTTTATTTAGGTTTGGGCCTGATGCCCACTCTTTGCACTGAGTAATTAATTAAGAGTGACATAAGATAGTAGATCTGATTTTACAGAAGATCTGCTCATTATGTGATCTGGGCAGTGTGCACACCAAACTAGACTGAGCTTGTATGGCCAGAATTCCTTTCCCCCCCATGATATAATTGTTTTATGTTATATGTGTTTGATGAGTGTGCTTACCACTCCATTCTGTTGCATATAGACTAGTGCAAGCTCAACACCCTACATGATGAAAGAGAAAAATGTGGTAATTTAAGAAGCGAATGTCTTAGGAATGTATGAACAAAGAAGAGAGGATCAGGATTATAATGTGGCTGGATCCATTACTTTATTTCAATTTTTTCATATTTAAAACTATTACAAGTGCCAGATAATGTTTTGTGTCTTCTCATACTGATGATATGATAATAGACCACAAGTGATGAGTAGTAAGGAAAGGCTGAAAGATTTGAAAACTATGTGCCCCATTTGAGGTTTCCAGATGTGCGTTTGTTAGCTTCCTGGCTGTCTTTTAGTCTGTTTGCTCCTCATTGTGAATTTTAAATGTCTGTGTGCCTTATGCCCCCTATTGTGGGAAATATTCCTATACATTTTAGTTCTTTTTTTATTGTTATCCTCATTATTTTTCCCAAGAATAACCAGCTTGTGTTTTTAGTGTTTGAAAGTAAATACCAGTACCTTACAGTATGAGGAAGCAAACAGCACTTATGTATCAGAGTTTCTCATAAAAAGAATCACAGTATATCGGTCTCATTGTGAATTTTTTGAGCTGCAGCAACAGCAGCTCTTGAGTATAAGATTTATTAATATCTTGGATGGCTCTTCCTCACAGGTCCTATTCTATCTGTTTCATGCGTAAACCTGGATCACATGTCCAATTTAACACAAAACATTACTTTACTGGTGGGTGGGTAAAAAGTGCTAAAGCCAGTGTTTATATAAGATACAATGGCTTCTAATAGGTTTTTATCTGTTTTAGTTTTGCTTCTAAAAATGTCCTTTAGGGTTTATGTGCCAAAACTTAAGATCTTCTCTATATAGCACATGTTAAGATGAAGCAGTCTTAATCCTTGGTAGTTATTTATTTAGTGATCAGTTATTTAATAATGGTGTTTCAGCTGCACAGATTATACAGTGCCTCATGAGAGGGTAAAACTCTGGAAGGAGGTGGCTATGCCCCATTTCTGTGTACTATTCCAGAATTTACCTGTGGAGACTGAGGAAGATCATGACAATTCCTCTGTGAGGATAGCCAGTAACCCAGCCAAGATTTAAAAACTGGGTACCTCCTGAATGCATGTGTATAGCACTGCTGCTACATCTGCTTGCTTGGTTTGTCTGTGAAGGAATTAAGACTATAAATAAAACTGATGTGGAATATGAGGAAGCTTTAAATGTCATTCAGCCACAAATGTGGTCTTGAATGAAAGGCAAAGGGAACATTGATTTCAATGTTGATAGCCTTATTTAAATTTTTGGTGAGAAAATATAGTTACTAGAAGGAACATGAGTTATAAGGAGTGTTCAGAAATGGTTGGGACTCACCTGGAATATAGGCTAAGTAATGATGAAAGCTTCACAATCACATGTCAACAGGCATGTATAATTTTGTATATGTCACATATTTTTGTGAAACTGCTGTTACCCAGTTATTATGTATAATTTTCCATTATTACTTCATCTCATTTCAGAATTTGTTCTGGAAGTATTCAACTGTTCAACGCTATACATTTTCTATAATGTTGTACAATAATATACTCAAGAGTTGTGTTCATGGCTGTGTTTACTAGTGTGTACTGCATTGTATCTTTTACACATTTCTTATGACACACAAAATTAATGCACCACATTGGGACCAGAATAGCATATCCATAATTTTGTTACTTTTCAGGATAGAAGAAAAATTTTGTTGTTTATTTTTCATTGTAACTTATTACATGAGTCACTTTCAATGGCACTGAGGTTTAGGCACATTCACACCCCTACAATGTGCCTGTTAAAAGAAAAGCAAAGAAAATCCTGTGCTGTTGCTGGAACCACTGCACCACCAAGGCCTTCATGCCTTTTTCTGACCCAAATCTATGACTATTAGTGCTTTCTTGGGAGATGCCAAACACATGGTATCACATGAACGGCTGTACTCGTTAGCATTGCTGCAAACCAGTTTCATTTCAGCTACCCACCTATCTCAGTTGATTGTTTTGCATCATACTTTTTCATTTTTTGTCATATTATGCTTATGAGCACCATGTTATGTTTTCATCAGTTTAGTGTCAAAAAGTAACATCAAGGATGGTTTTCATTTTATTCAAATTTTATGATGCTGTAGTATACTATACTGTGATATGAAACAGTGAAGAAAATGGTTCCTTGTAACTTGCCAAAGATGATTTCATCTCTGCATTCAAAATTTGAACTTGCATTGAGATTTGTTCCAAAAAATGAATTTATTACTCATCTCTAACTATTTATGTGGCAGCACCCAGGTATAAGAGAGGCTAAAGAAGTATTGTTTATAAAGGTACATGTGTTGGAGACCAGTCAGCTGAGGTATGGGGAGGAAGAGAAAGTGATAGCATATAAGGTGTTTTTCTCACCCCTTGCCCCTACCATCTGCGACATAGCTGTGGCTTGCAGATATTTTGCAACCAGTATACTTGTGGGGGTAACTTGTGCGCCTCAAGCAGGCTTCTTGTTGGGTGTACACAAGTGTCTCAAGAACATTTGTTACGTGTCTTGGCATTGATAGTATCAGTTTGTATTATCAGACACAAGCGTAAAATAGTGTGTGGCACTTGTAATAGTCCCTTTACCCATACTCAACAACTTCTTCCTGTTAGTGATAAAACTGCTAAGAAAGTTTTTAGGAATAAACAAAAACAAATTTTGCCTCAATAAGCCTGTGATATAATAACTTAATAGACAGTAAAAGGAACATAATTATTATAATAAAAAATTATTGCATTTAAAATTATTTTAAAAATAGTTTTAAAAACTGCATGCCAATGTAGATGGTATTTTTGTTCTGCTAAAAGAGTGCATTGAGCTTTATTAAGCCAACTGCAGTGCAAAGACAAAATAGAAAAATCATTTAGTTTTACAAATGCATTGCTTGACTGTGTTCCATTATTATTATCATCATTATTACTGTTGTCTCTTGGGTGTTTTTACAGCCAAAACAAGTATGATTCACACAGATGTGATTCAGGTAGATATTTTAAGCAACTGTTGCATTGTCTTATTATCTCTATTAATGAAATGTAGGTGTGTGATAAGAGGACTAGTGTCTTCCAAGGACACACTGACATTTGTCCAAGGAAGTGACATTAGTGTTGTTTGTATGACTTTAAGACTGAGACATGTTATTTAAAAAAGTGTATTTTGTACTGCAGACAAGTATTGATGTTAAGGGAAGATTTTATATATTATAGAAATGCTTTCATGGATGGAGAAGAAATTTGTGCTATTGATGTTTGAGTTTACTTTCCTGTGTGAGCAATGTTTAGAGCATTAATTCTCTGTTATGCTAATGTCATTTAAATCTGTTTTGTTAATAAAAACTTAAAATGTTTCTAATCACTTACAGATATTATTGTGCCATATAAAATTGTTGCAGATAAGCAGGCTCTGCTTCTTCATAACTTAAAGTTTATAAGAAATTAATCCTATCTAAAATGGGAACTTAAACAGAAACCTGCCTTTATTAGAAAATATGTCTAGTCCAGAGAATATAGAATGAAAACTAATATAAATTCACTTGTATTAATTGAACACTGTTAAACACAAACAGAAAGGGAAAACAGATATGAACGAACATGTGCAACTGTTGGGTATGTACAGAATACCATTGTTAAATGTAGCTGAGAAAGGGGGGGGGGGGATGAAATACTGAAAATTTGCACTGCTCGGTAGCAATGTGCTGTACATATTTAACATATGTTTCTTGTAATTTTGATTATAAATCCCGTACTGTGCAATATTTTTATCTAGAAGTGCCATTTGTGTGAACAAGAAAAAATGTTATGGTCTCATGGGATTCTATTGTAAGCAGGTTTTGCAGTACAATTATGATTTTCTTTTAATTTTTTGATATGCCACTGCCATTGGCCATGATCCTCAGCTCTCTCTAAGATCCACCAGATTTGATTAACAGAAAAAATGCACTTCTTTCATGATTCATGAAAAATTCCTTTTCTGAATAAAAAGAGTTTTGAAAACTCTTTTATCAGATCTTTGTTAATATTTAGGTTCTATGCAAAATTAAAATTGAAATGAAAGAGACACATGAAATGACCCAGAAGAAGATGGTTCAATGAGTTACTACGAGAGGGAAGAGCTGGCTGACTGATGACCTTTCAATCATCGACCATCTTATTAAAATGGAAACAAAGGCAGAGGGAGAAGACATGGAAGTTTTAACTTCATAGATTAATCAAGAGATGGCATATATCGGTGAAGGGAAATATATGTGACGTATTTTAAGATATCAATATAAACAGAATTTTCGGTTGTACTGATCGATATTTTGGATTGCAGTAAAATGATTACTTTGCTAAGATGTAGTAATGTGTACTGGAGTTCGGGTGTTTTTAAATGTTAGAAGGTGGCTGTCTTCTGGGTTGTTGCACCTTGTTGTCTGGTAGAAGTTTACCGACGTTTCAGAGGCCCTTGTAGACAGCCATATTCCAACTCATCGCTGTGAAAACCTCAAATACTACTTTTGAAGTGGTTACTTTATAATTATTTCGGCAGTATGTAACACCGTGTATTGAATTAAACTTCCAATTCAACATTGGTTTTTGTATTCGGAGGGAACAAACTGCAAATGTTCTCGGGAAAATACTTATTTATTATGAGTACTAATTCGTTATTGCTACACTGTTCATCGAAATGTAGCTCACATCGACATATTCACCAAAGTCAGGTGTTATTATCCGCGAAATACGCAAGCCTGTACATAAATTATATGTCTAGGAACAGCTATGATAAAGTTGATTTGGTAATTTGTGGAAGTTGTGTCTTCTGCTGCTGAAAATTGTGAGATAACCTAACATTCCACAATAGTTTTACAGAGCATCCATTTTATATTGCATAACTGCACTGTCAATTTTCATACAAATCTGTTAAATGGTTCTGGAAGTATGACATGTGGATAGACAGACAGATAAACAGAGAATGGTACAGCTAAAAGGCACATTTTTTAAATTTTTTGGTTCTGAACATGCCTAAAACATATCAACAAAACAACACTGTAATTTCCTTACTTTTTAAACAATAATTTGTCTTTCTTTGGTCAGGTCTGATACAATCTAATTGCTACATCACTTATTCATGTATTTTCCTATTTATTTCACAGTGTATAATCCATGTAGTTTAAACAGCGCTGTAAAATACCCAAAAAGTAATTTATAGTGTACCGTTACCCAATATTTCAACAAATAAGTCTCGTTGTTCAGAAATTTGTATCCCTGTTGACTGTTTATGATGTGACTTTGATGTTGTTAACATTTACCAGTAGTTTATAAATACCATATTTTACAGCACAGCTGAATAAAACTGAAATGGACTGTTACCCTGGTACTGCAGCACAAATTTAGCCTTCTGCTGATAGAAATTATAAATTGCTGTCAATAAAAATTTGTACTGGGAAGTAAAGGTGAGTAACTTGTAAGAACAGAATGCACACTGTAGAAATGATGTACAGGTATTTTTTTGCCACTTACACACATATACATATTTGTTGTTCTGGCTTGCATGTTTGTAGTGGAATGAGGTGTACATGTATGTGTGTTTTTATACATATCTTGATCTCAATATTTTGGAAAATAAATGTGACAGTCTTGTCACATGATGCTTTCCCTTTTATATCGTATTTTGAAAAATAAATGTGACAGTCATGTCACATGATGCTTTCCCTTTTATATCTAAATTTTAATAGAAGTGGAAGGCAGAATTGCATCAATACTATTCAGACTGAAAGACTGTAGCAGGCAAACATAATCATTGTTTTACTAATAAAATAATAAACGAAATGTCATAATGATGCAACATTGTTCTGCATCCACATTTTCGATGAACCATAACAGTTTGTACTATGTAACATGGTCAGTCAATATCTCAGCACCATCATCAGTAATGAGAACTGTGTGCTCACACTGCGCAGTTCTTCCATTGTCCAGTGTGACAGCTGTCCAGCCATCTTCCAGAATAACTATTTCGTGTGACCCCTGGGCTAGTACAGGCTCTATTGTAAATGTCATCCCAGCTTCCATCTTCCCAGGGTAATTATTATCTGCATAAAACAGAAAATAATTTATTTTACCAGAGTAGTGCAAGAACAGCTTCCAGGGATTCATACACTGACTAGAATGTTACTAGCACTGCTTCCAACTACCATTCACATAATGATTAGAATAGTATGAGAAGTGCTTCCAACATTTATAAAGTAACCAAAATATTACCAGAACTGCCTTTAACTAATAGTCACAAAGTGGTGAGAACAGTAAAAGAACTGCTTTCAACTAATATTCATTCTGTGGCCAGAATAGGACCAGAACTGCTTCCAAATAAACATTCAAATAATGACAAGAGGGTTAGTTTTAATAATTATCCAGTTCTTTAATTTTCTATTTTCTTGTACAAAATACCCTTAGAAATACAGTAGATAAATTATATAATAAGTATTGAACACAAAAGTTCTGTGACTGATCAGAAATATCTACTGCAGAATAAGGTAATACATCTGTCAGATGTAACTACTGTGGTATCACTCAAGAGCCTTATTATCTTCCATCTGTCCAAACTAGCATTTCACTTCTTTGATACACTTAAGCCCTGGTGGTAAGGCTTGTTGCTATAAAGCATTGCATAAAGAGTAGTTCCAACATTTGTTTAAAGATGGAAAAAGTAAAACCACAAACCAGTTTCCTCTTACTCTGTCTACTTGCTGACACTTACAGCAGTGATATATATCTGGGGGGCCATGGAAGTAGCTGCCAATGCCATGTCCAGTGAAACATGGTACAACAGTGAACCCTGCCTTGTGTGCCACTAGTTCCACTTCATTCCCTGCAACAGACACCTTTCTTTTCTTTTCCTGTTTGAACCTTCTATTCTCTAATGTAAGAAGCAAGTCAGGCAATAATACCCTGCTTTAATGGCATGATGGTATCCAATAATCTCTGACATACAATAAGGTATGTTTCAACATATAAAATGTTTACAATATCCTGCCAAACTACATTACATTGCATTGTTAAGTAATATCACTAAATAAATTCATGTCTTCTGAATTGTAGATGTTGTTATTGTCCATTTCATCACAAAAATTGCTTGCCTTTTGATCATAGACTAACTCCATGATGCATGATATTTGTTTAAAACTTGATAATTACTCAACTGGCCAAAAAATTCCCTGCTTTTATGGAACTCAAAAGGTTCAGTATCATGTTCAAAAAAGCCTGTCAGACTCTATCCTGAGCCAGTTCAATCCAGTCCACTTCACACTCCATATCTAGGGCAGATGGCAGGTGAGAGCGCTCTAAAATAAATGTTTACTTAATAGCATATTTGAAGTACTGCTCTATTTCTCATAAATTACATTTACTTTATTCAGATCTGACATTTGGCAAAATGTTAATAAATTATTGTTTAAGATGTCTTAAATACCATGTTTATGTACACATAGATTTGTAGCTGAAACAAGGCTATATGCTTGGTATCTCATGTTATTTCAGTTTTACATTAGAAATTTAAGTGATTGATAAGATGAAGACTGATTAAGATAGTTTATATTTTGGCTCTTGTATTGGAATATCTATATAATGGTGGAACACTTCTGAATACAGAATTATGTTGTGTAGTTATGCTATAATGTTTCTGATTCCTTGTTTATAAGTTGCAACACTTGTGACACTATCACAGCTTGGTGCTTGAAAGGCAGAGAAAACTATTTAAATAACATCACTGTATCCCACTGTTAAATTAATTTAACATACAGCATATATACATATACAGTTGTTTATTCATGTTATACAGATCCTCCCATACAAATTCAACGTTTTCTGTATGTGTTTTGCAGTCTTGACAATGGAGGAAGGTGTGTTGCTGGCACCCCACATCAAGTCAGTGACACAAATGTTACTGAAAGGATAATGAAAATCAGTATGATTTAAATATTAATATGATTAAGATATTCTGTCATATGAATGGTGATTGGATACAGAAATTAAACCTGCTTCAGAAAGGTGTCCTATGCATGATTTATGTGAGGCTTAAAAAGTACAACTTATATGGAGAAAGTACCAATGTTACAAAAGTACTCTCCTGGTCGACAAATTGAAATTGCACGCTGTAGTGATAGTTCTGTAGCTTTCACCAATGCTTGGCCATCTTTGTCTACTTCTCCAACCAGAAACATTGCTGAGCAGTCACCATGATAGCCATTTAGATACACCTGTAGCATCATACACAAATAAAATGAATATATTAGTATGAATACAGTGTGAAATTTTGTCCAGGCAAGATGTGAACATGCATTTCTTGTTTGCTTGACAATTAGACTTACAGTAACATCTACATTGATAATGTCACCATCCTCCAGAGGGCGATCATCAGGGATTCCATGGCATGCTACGTTGTTAACAGATGTGCATACAGACTTTGGGAAACCTCTGTAGTTCAGTGGAGATGGGTATGCATTATTTTCAATTGTCAGGCTGTGAACTATAGCATCAATATCATCTGTTGTACAGCCTACCTATAGGAATAGGAAACATCTCCTTTTTTATACCTTGGTACTTCTAAAATGGCATCCTTCTATTGCAGTTCTATCAAACTTGCCTTAATGTATTTACCAACAGAGTCCAGTATGAACTGGGCTAATCTACAACTATCTCTTATTTTTTTTATTTGTGCTGGTGTCTTGATTTCTGCTTCATCTGGAGCAGGGGATGGCACAAATGTATCAAAATATGATGGCCGACTGATGTGTTCTGGTACTGGGTGCCCCTTACTAACAAACCCTGGTTTCACAACACTGTAGAAGCCAAAATCCCTCCTGAAAATGAACAGAAATAAGATTTATGCTTTTTATAGAGGTCAATCTTCAGGGTGGAGATGAAGGTGATAGGTCCCTCTAAATGTTGGAAAAACTACATACAAGATTACATGGTGTCATAACCCTGAAGATGAAAGTCCAAACAGAAATGAACAGAATAGAATTTATTTACATTCCACAGATCCCTTATAGGCCTAAGTGAAGGATGCAGAATAAGTAACGGCAAAAATATAATACCCGTTTCTAATACAAATATAAATTACATAGTTGTGACTGATTTACAGGCCACTATAGTATTATATGCTTATACAAGAAAGCATCACTACTATTCCTTACATGTATTTATAGTAACTGAGACTTTTTAGTTGAGGTAAATATGGACCAGAGAGGCATAGGAGAAGAAGAAATTCCTCTGAAGTAGAAGTGAGATGGGAGATACTCTTTAGTACTAGCTTAAACTTCTTTTTATCATGTGATCTAGACTTTTGATAGTGGGAGACTTACAATAATTTCTGCCTTATATGTACTTTTCTTGCCTTCCAGATACACATCTGACCAACCCATCCATACTTTTCTGAATCTTTCAATGGTAGGATTTGGGTTCCTCACAGCCCAGTGAGTATAAATATGGCTGTCTTCTGGATTGTAGTCTGGTAGAAGTTTCCTTTGTTTCACAGATCCTTGCTTTTTCCATCATCAGCAACTGATGATGGAGCTACAACCCTGAAGACAGCCTTCTTCTTTCTATGGTGTTTTACAAATATGCTTTCAGAAAGGAAGCCAGAATAATTAGGATTTGAGGTTTTCATGGCTATAAATCCAAAGATGGCTGTCTTGTGGGTTGCAGTGCCATGTATTCTGGTAGTTTACCAACATTTTAGAGGTACTTGCTGCCTCCATCATCAGGGCGAAGAATGAAACGTTGATAAACATCTACCAGACTACCAAGTTCAACAATCCAGAAAACAGCCATTTTAAGCCAGAGTTACTTCAGTGTCTATTTAGCAACTGTAACACATGACAAAGAATTTTTTTGACAAGGAAGAAAACTGGTATGTATCCCAAGCCAAACTGACCTGATTCAATTCTAAAGGGTTCCGACGACGATGGATTACGCTTAAAATTATTCAGTCTGGACTGTGGAAACTCGCTGTCTGACGGACCCCACCTGAAGACGGAAACAGCCAGTTTCCGAAACGTGGTTTCTTGTAAATAAGGACGATGGAAAAAGTCCATATAGTGAATAATTGTAAGTGTAACCTGACTTAACCTATTCTATTCTAGTAAAACGAAACAAAACAGAAAGAAGCAATGTGCAAATCGAAAGTGCGGCATGTGAGGGGACTAATATATATATTTTCCAACGCCGATATCAATGTTTCCCTCTCTCGCAAGCCTTCTTTTTGTAAATATGGTTTAAATTAAACTGGAAATAGCCGCCATCGCATCTCTCTGTGATGAGCCCTCTTAAACATTTTGCTAATTGCAGTTTAGGAACAACTGCTGTAGCCATTTCGACTTCGACTCGCAAGCAATACACAATCGGTTTAGATCATGGTGTTGATTACCTTTTCCACTGTCTATTCCAGAAATTATTGAGGTTGAAACGTCTCCTTTGAATACAAAATAGTACGGAATTTAGACTAAGAAATGACTTCATTTTCACACCTGTGCTTTTACAACCTGAATTTTACCATACACAATTCGTATTGTAGGTCAGCGTGCACCACATAGATGGTGGCGTTTGAGTAGATTGTATTAACCACAAACATTCAAATCCATCATTACTGCTTATCTGTTCTCTACTGCATCGTTCAAAGACATTCATATTATTATTTATAGATAATTACTCCCTGACAAGTCATCTTATTTTGTTGCAGAGTTGACATTTCTCAGAGTTGTATATTTTTGTACTTCGGTGTCTACGTGGGCGATTGTGGTATGTGTGGAACTTGTGTTACAAAAAGGCGCCGTTATAACTGTTGTTGTTATCACAAGTAATGATTTTGATCTTGTGTTTAAAGTAGCTGCATATATTGTCACGTAATTACCCGTTTTAAGGTAAGAAGAAGAATGAAACTCGAAACTGCCCTACACAACCTAACCTTACCATACTCCGACGCAATCATTTAAGTTTAGAGTGGAATAGAATAGAATTTATTTACTTACTTTCCATAGATCCTTCATACTCCCAGGTCAAAGCTGTAGAGCATGTCATAGCACAAATATAATAGTTGTTTCTAATACAAATATTAGTTATGAAGTTATGACTGTAATTTACAGTCAATTACATTATTACCCAAAAAAATAATTGCACATCCATCCCCAATATTGCTTGCATGTATTTATAATAGCTGAGAATTTTGGGTTTGAGGTAAATTCGTCAGTGGAGGTGGAGTGAGATAGGAAATACTGTTTTAGTGCTGGCTCAAACTGTTTTATATTGTGATTAAGAATTTTTATAGTGGAGGGACAATTATTGAATAGCATAATTTTAGTATAGTTTTAGACAGAGTTAATTGATGGTGGTAACTCTTTGACATATATAAGGAAAAGCAGAGGACCAAGTGTTGAACCTTGAGGAACTCCATGTTTTATAATGCCCCAATTTGAATAGGTGCTATCATTTGAAGTTGATGATTTTATTTTTACTTTTTGCATTGTCATGTAGGGACAATTTAAAACACTGGCCATTTTTATTTTGAATTCCATAAAAATGTTGTTTTGCCAGCGATAAAGAAAGATTTATACAATCAAAGGCTTTAGAAAAATCACAAAGTATTCCACTAACATGCATTTTATTATTAAGATTTCGTCTGTAAAATTGAGAAGGGCATTTATCACTTTAGAGACTTTACCTAAATCCAAATTGTTCACTTGAAAGGTCATTTTTTGAGTTTAAAAAGTCTATCTCTTATACATAACTGTCAAATATTTTAGAGAAATCTCTTAGTAATGGAATAGGTCTGTAGTTAGATATGCATGATTTTTCACTTTTTTTATATAGAGGTTTAACTTTTGAATATTTAAGTCATTCTGGAAAAGAACTACTGCCATTGATTGATTTTAAAGACAACTTAAAGGAACACTATGTAGTCTGCTCAGCTTTTGAGTAAAGTTGTTGATATTTATTTAATTTAAGTAGATTTTGTAAACATTTTTTATTTGTGTCGTATCAAACGTCTTCTGCTCGGTCCATCATTTGTTTTACAGTAAAGTAGTGATGTTGTTCAGATAAGATTTTGTCAGTTTCTGTACAGATGACTTCTGTGGGTCGTGGTAGAGGTTGGGGAGGTAACCAAGATAAAGGAATACCTTTACGTCGCCCTGGAGAGTTGATCTTGTCTGTAGATATGGAGGTTGATAGCTTGATTGCTGCTGTCCAAGGCATCAATCTGCAGGATGAAAATGAATCTGTGGCCACTCTTAAAGGGGTAGAAGAACTGCTAAAGAACCAGTGTCAGACAGAAGAAAACCTCAGGTGAGCAGTGTTAGATTTATGAGCATTGTCTTTCTGCATGGCAAAGAAACATGTCACTCTTCTAAAACAATTGTGGTACTGAGTTTTTCTTTAGGACTGAACTGGATGTTTTGTCACACCAAATATTAGGGGTAAGAAAGGTTTTTTCTCAGACATACCATGAAAATTCTCATCTCTGTATAGTGAAGAATAATTTCTCCTCTCCTCTGATTAAGAGAACTCCACTTAAGTTAGAACCCACTGTAGTTATAGCCCCATATGCACTCTCCATGATAATGTGCTCAGTTACCACTTTCAGAATCCTAGTGCTTGTTCTTCTGACACAGGTTGGTTGTTCAGTGCCTTCATGACCGCAGTCTTGAAGACCGACAGTTTGGTATGAAGGCAGCCGCAGCATATGGGACTGTGGCATCACTGGAAGTGGCAGGGGTCAAGCTACGTAATATTTTGCTCCTTGCTGTCCAAAAAGATTTTGACGGTAAGACGTTTAAAATCCAAAAATGGTTTTATGCAGTTACATTGTGTTATTGGACTAGGTAGGAAGTTACTGAAGTTAGGGTCATTCCTCAAAGTAGTAAATGGATTTTACAAATTGTGAACATTATGTAATGTACTTGTTTGTATGTGTGTTTATCACCCTTAACAGTATTTAAAATATTAGTTTTTGGAGGTTTGTGTGTAAAATATGGTTTTATTGATTTAAAATGTGCAGCACCAGGTGGGAAGCAAGAAAACTGTGAGCAAATGCATGTACTAAATTTCTTTACAGTTCCATTGGAAAAAATAAATATAATCTTTGGTAGAGAAAGAAATCTGTTAATTTAAAATGGTGTATTTAATGTCAAGGTCAGTTATGGCAATTATATAGTGCTGAATGATAGGATGATTAATAAACACTTATTTGGAAAAGATACAAAGGGGAGCAGACTTGGCCTAATTTAAGGTGCTATTCTTGCACTTGCCTGGAGGGATTGAGGAAAACCATGAAAAACCTCAGTCAGGATAGCTTGTCTCTGGGCTGAGTTTTGAACCTGGAACCTACCATGTGCAAAGCAGGTGTGTCAACCACTTGGCCACGATGTTTGGTAGTTCATTTTTTGTTCTACATTAGAATGCTACTTTGTAGAACTTAAATGCAGGGAATGCCAACTCACATATATGTTTATTTTTCTTCTTCTGTTTGTATTTATTCCTAACCTGTATCCATTTTTTCAAAAGTCACTTAATAGCACAGCTGGTTTCTGCTTCCTACTGTGGTTGCTATGGTCTGACACACAGCAACTGAGTGCATAATTTATTACAGTGTTGAGACAAACTCATATTCAGTGTATGAAAATAAGTATTTGTAATGTTATAATTCTTTCTTGGAATAATTAAACAATATTAGTTCAGGCCTGTGATAATATAACAGTTATTGATAAGTGGTTATAAATACTTTTGTGATGGCAATGTAGATAAGAATTACAAAATCCCTTCATTTTGATTATTTGCATGGACCATGTACAAATATAAAAGGATTGTTCATAGTTCTGATATACATTTTCTTGGTTTCATTCTGCTGTAGTAGCATGTGACAGTGGGATAGGAATCTTTGTATGTGAAAGAATTGCATGTTGAGTAATCTGTGTGTTTGTCATAACCTTTGTTTAAAAACATATTTATCAATATATGTTGAAACATATTAAAAGTATGAAGGTGATTGTCTTTTGGGTTGTAGCACTGTAGTCTGGTAGAAATTTACCAACAACAGCAAGTTCCTCTATAATGTCAATAAACTTCTACCAGACTACACAGTGCTACAAATCAGAAGATGACCATCTTTATAGCTCCCGCCATGAGAACCTCAAATTCTATGTTTTAAAAAAGTACATTTAGACCTTACGTGAGCCAGCATAGCTCAGTCGGTATAGTGACTGGTTAATGACTGGGCGACCGGGGTTCAATCCCCGACGGGGACAGAGGATTTTTCCTCTAGCCTCTGCATCCAGACCGGCTCTGGGGCCCACCCAGCCTCCTATCCAATGGGTACCGGGATCCTTTCCCGGGGGTAAAGCCGGCCGGGGCATGATGCTGACCGCTCACCCCCATCTAGTGCCGAGGTCAAGAATGAGTAGGAGCTATACCTCCACTCCCCCCAAGCGCCTACATGGTGTATAGTGGGACAGCTTTACTTTTACTTTACTTTACATTTAGACCTAACATGGCTGGTAGCCCAAGAAGAATTTTTATGTAAAGTTGTTTGGCCCTATTAATTAGTACATTAATGTGTATTTCCCTTCTGTTTTTAGGTAATGCATTAAAAGAAATAGGATTATTATATCAATTATTGAAATCCTTGTTATGGGTATGTTCCATTAGATCGAGCACACCTCCAGACAGCTTGCAATCTAAAGTTTCTGAATGCTATTGCTCTTTTGGGTGAGATTTTCCACCAAGTACGTCTTCCGAATGGATCACCCATAAAGATTCTGGCATTAGCTGTACTACAGTATCAAGATATGCTGTTAAGTGGAGAGGAACATGAGATGGAGCTGTTTACAACTCAGGTGCAGCATTTGTAGTTTTATAAAGAATGTTGTTCATAAGAACAAGTACCTGTCCTATATTTTATTGTCAAAGTGAACTGTCTAAATGAGGAGTTAGATAAAGGTTCAAGGGGGACTTAAGAACTAGGTGAAGAAATTGAGCTTGAAATTATAACTTTTGATACATTCAGCTGAAAATTTTAGAGATTTGTAAAGATTCTTATAATGTTTTTCAGCGGAATTGGCGGCTGAGTCGAGTTTTGCTCATTGTGAGTGACCAATCAGCGCAAAGAAGGTCTGTTGGTAAGCAGCCAGACCTCAGTCTGTTGAGAAACCATGTGATAGAAGCATCGGCACAGCACATGTGATTGGTGCATGTTTCAGCAGCCAATTCCGCTGAAAACTATTAATTGGTTATGCCTGCAAACTTTCTCTCACTGAAGTTTAGTTCAGTTTAGTATAGTTACGTTTTGTTTCATGGATTAATCAAAATTAGGCAGTATAAGTTCTGGAATGTTTTTGTTCATACGTTTTAAGCTTTCTCGTGGCATGAGTGATGCATACGTTTAAGTTTCTTACCTAACATTCCTTCACTGTTTTAACCTGTTGATTTTTATGACTAAGGTGAACTCAGCTTCAGGTCTATACTTTTTTGTTCTGCAGCTGGCTGTCAATGGCCGGAAGTTGTATGACTGCCGGCCAGGTGAACTAGAAGAATTGATGCTGCGTGTTCGGACAACCCTTATGTCACGGAACTTGAGTGGGCAGTGTCGCTGCTGGTTGCTGCTTGCACTGGACCTTGCAACAAATCGCTATTCTCCACTGTCAGGGCAGTTACAAGGGTTCTACCAGGTGAAGATGGCTGTCTTATGGGTTGTTGCACCATGTAGTCTGATAGAAGTTTACCAACGTTTCAGAGGTCCTTGCTGCATTCATCACCAGGGCGATTAAGCTTACTACTTTCCTTCACTTTCACTCTTAATTGGAATGCTCAGACAATACTGTAGATAAATTATGAAGCCAAGTATGATCATTTTACAACATGTAATTCCCATAAACTAAAAATATACAGTATCATTGTGAAACTTTAAGTAATTTGTTAAACACTGTGAAAGCGTTTGAACAAAATATTCTCTAAATTTACTTCATAAAAAATATAACTTGCTTTGCTTGTTTCCCCCCCCCCTTTTTATTCTTTCTTGCCCCCCCCCAACATTACAGTATGAATGCCCACACTGATTTGCTTCATCTTCAATGACATGATGGTTTTTGGCTATTGTTTTGAGGTTAATACTGATAATGAAATTTGTTTTATCAAGGAAATAGAGTCCCCTCATGTTTATCAATATCCTGTTCAGTTTAACTTTTAAGGAAATATGTTTTCCTTTTGTGTTGCTGTCATGTATTATTAAACATGCAGAATTAAATAAACTATACCACTTGCAGCAGGCTCAGGTAGATTAAGTAATGGCTTACTTGTAAAGTGTCACACGGAAGTTAAAATCATACATGCAAAATGGCGACTGCCCTGTCACCTGTAATACAGTAAAATCAAAGTATAGACTTCAAGATACGCGAGATTTGAGATTATCATGGTGGCAGGTATGAAGATGACTGTCTTCTGGGATGTTGTGCCATGTAGTCTGATAGATGAATACCATTGTTTCGTAGGTGCTTACTGCCTTCATTGTCAGGGTGATCCTTAGTGATAAAGGCAGTTAACACTTCTGAAACTTCAGCAGATTTGTACCATCCTATAAGGCCCAACAACCCAGAAGACGGTCGTCTTCAGCTTTCAGATATTGAGTTATATGTAACACTATATATCGCAAGCACAGGTATAAGGCAAAAATATTTTGATGACTATCCTTGTAGTGTGATGATTTAATGATCATGATAACATCAGTCAGCAGAGCACAAGTGGCAATGTCTACTTTAAGAAATTCATTCCGTTGTGGAAGATGTTGACCATGTTTCTACATTTGCAGTGTAGCTGTACTCATGCCCATTGGATACGGCTAGCGCCTGGCTGCTTGAGTTCTGAACACAAATCTATACCCAAACTGTTTAAACCATCTGAGACATGTTTGTAACATTGCTATAATCAATTACTTTCCCCATCCCTAGATACTAACTCTCTATTTTGAACTCCACATATGAAAGCGTAGAGTTGCAAGCTTGCAGCAGTTGGAGCTCATTCCGGTGGACAGGACAAACCATAGCAACTGGCAGTGGACCTGGTAAAAACGTGCTCTTTCAGGGCAAATGGCACCAACTGGAGGGATAATCAAATTGCAGCTAGAAACAGAGCACATAAAAATCTTTCAACTGCTGTAATTCCCCTAGTATGCAGTGTGGCATGGAATAAAGCAATTATTAATGTTGCATGAGTGAACATTTTTTGGAGGCAGAATCTGGTAACAGTGATGATGAAACAGATGATAATCAAGAATGTTATCGTAAAAGTGGTGATAGTGAAAAAACATGACAGCATACAGCATTAGTCAGTGGGTGGCATAATGTGAAATGTTTCTTTATTAGTTGTCCACACCATATTTTATCTAAATACTTCATGTATGTGTGCTTATGCAAAGAATGCACAATAATTTACATAATCATGTAAAAGTTGGATCATTCTGTTTTATGTTGTAATAGTAAATGATTTTTTTACACTAGCCTATATCACTGTGAATGGGTGATGCATCATTTATTGAACAAAAATTCATTGACCTTTTTAAAAATAATAATTATTAAGTTAGTAATTTCTTCTCATAGCCTTTCATTATAGCGAAATTTCATTGTAACAGACATAAATTGTCACTCCCCAAAGGCTCATTGTACTAAGATTGTACTACCCCCTTTACTGAGAGTGCTTACATTTTGTGTTGGATTGCAGGTGCACCTGGGTGCAAATGCCATCATGCAGCTACAGCGACTGCATTTTGGGCTCAAGGTTGACACAAATAGTAGTCACACACAAGCGAATCTTGCCTGTGTGGCGGAGACATCTGACGCTGTTACAGGGGACTCGGGTGGTGGAAATGCAGATGGCATTCTGGCCAAGTGCAAGTCTGTAGATCAGACTATCATAGAAAATGGTGCATTCAAGCCAAGAGGTGACGAAACTAGGACAGGACTGCTTAGTGCAAAACCTAGTGTCAGAGGTGGAAGGAAAATGGGAGAAGAATGCAGACAAGAAGATTTGGATCAAATTAAATTTGGTGGCAGCAGTGATAGCGGTGGTAAGAAATTTGTTCCATCAGGAGACGATCAAGTCCGGAGAAAGGGTTGGGGGCATAAAAGACAAGATGTAGATCAAAATGAGGACATCTGGGGCACTCGTCGTGGGCAGAAACATGAACCGTGGGGCCATGATGATCGCTTTGTTAAGGATGATGACTTTTATGGTAAGCAGGCACAAAGAGGTGAAGAGACATTCAGACCCAGAATCATAGGTGGGGCCAGTGGGCTCAGAAGAGACAGGAAGGGAAGTGATGGGAAGGACCAAAAGAGCACTCCCAAAAGTGAGACAAGTAAGACTGAACCTGAACCCATTGCAGTGCCTCCACCACCCCTTACTGAAGAAGAAAACTGGGATTGATTATATAAGTTTGTCCTTTGCATACAATGAGACCCATATAAGTTCCTGTCATTAATTTCTTATGCTGTCTCACTCAGCCTGGCAAGTGCATGCTGCAGACACTGAAAGAAATATGAAGGTATATTTGAATTTTGTAGGAAAGTATGAAAAATGCACCTCATCCAGCTGAGAGGTTACATGGTCCTTGCAATTTTTTATCATAATTTTTTTATGCTCATTCCCAGCTACTCTGCCTTACCTCTTAACTCAGCCATTTTATCAATATACTAAAGCTCTGCAGTGTCACATGGTGAAGAATTGATTGGCAAACAATCTACATGTGTTCAAGAAATCACAGGAAATAGCTTCATGCACTGACTAGTGACAGAAGATAAAAGGACATACGCAACATATGTTCTGAAAGAGATAATTTTTGTTTTTTCATGGCATATTGCTGTGCAATCAAGGTTGGCTATGGTAATCTGTATAAAGTACAAGTAAATGATTGAATCGTGTATGGGAATGAATGTGTTAAGTTATGAAATTAACCTGTTTGTAATTGTATATGTTTGGTTTAATGTAATATTGCATTGTATATATATATATATGTGCGTGTGTGCATGCATAGATGTTTTGTTTGGTCAAGGAATGTTGCAAGGTTTGTTTAATTCTAGGGTTCTCAAACTGTGGGTTGTTACCTCTAGATAATCACATGTAACTTCAAAGGGGCTCAGAAGGTTTTAAAATATTAAAAAAATGTCCTTAAATTCTGATTGATTACAGTTCTTATTTATTATGCATCCATATTTTCTTATTGCTTTCTTCATGATCTTGGGCTCTTCCACACTGTAGTGTGTTTTGTTTCTTCTTAGCCTTGCTATTTGTTGTTGACAGAATTTCATTGTTAATTTTTTTCCTATTTTATTGATGAGTTCAGGTATTTAAGACTGGTGAAATGAAAATTTAAGGTGTTAAGAGAAAGACTGAAGGTAGCCCATCTTCCAACTGGTAGTATAAGATTATTACTTTCATACTTGTCAGAGTATGATGACAGTTTTTTTTTTTTTGACGTAAATACGTCTATACGAAAGGGTCATTCGGCAAAAAAGCTTAATGAAGATGTGTAAGATCCATATCAACAATGTGTAAATATGGACTGAAAACAATGGTTATGTTACCTAAGAAACTAATTGTTACATCATCGCTTTACTCGGCATTGTTGTGTTACATTACTGCCGTCAACAATCCGCTTTCATTATTGCGGAAAGAGCTGAGCTGTGAATAGCTTGTAGAAGTGCGTCGTAGACTAGATAATTTTGTGCTGGTTAAAACGTTTTAGAATATCACAAGTACTTATCTTATATAAGAATTATTACATTACATTACATTACAAAGACGTATTTACGTCAGATTCTCCGGAACCATGGTTCCACTGTCAATTTTTTAATGCAAGACAGTACCTTAAATTAGACCATGACAGTTTCCTTTCACATCCTTTCCAATTCATTATTTACTAATCCTGTCATTTGATGCTACATAACTGGAGGTATTGAAAGTATCATTAAATAAACTATTAATAAATAAAATAACCAAATCAAATATATGGGAGTATAGATGTTATTATGCCTATCAGAATTTAATGAAGGCTAAAATACTGGGGAGGGAACTTAAACTGAGAATCTATAAAGTTCTGATAAGACCAGTAGTCACATATGGATGTGAAGCCTGGACATTAACTAGCTTTGATGAGCAACAACTTAGAATATTTGAACGCAAAATATTACGGAAAATCTGTGGTCCAATACAGAATAGTGATGGCTCCTGGAGAATTAGGATGAATCATGAACTAGATTGTATCATACAGGGAGCAGATATCGTGAGGCTAATCAAAAGCAAAAGGTTAGCCTGGCTTGGCCATGTTGCAAGAATGGAAGGAAACAGGGTAACTAGAAGAGTGATGGAATGGAGACCGATGGGAAGAAGGATGAGAGGGAGACCATGGAAACGATGGATAGACGATGTGGAGGAGGATGGGAGTAAGGGGGTGGAGAAGAATTGTGAATGATACGACAGAATGGAAAAAGTTCATCAAACAAGCTAAGACCCACACAGGGTTATAACGCTATAAGAATAAGAGAAGAAATGAACTTAATTCCTTGGACTTTGCATGGTATGAAATTGTAGAAACTTTATAGCAGGCATCTATATGTAAAAATTTCATATTAAACTTAATATGGTGTAAAATTCTTTTCTTATTAATAAACAATCACAAAAAACTTAACAATAGGAAGTGTTGCAAGCTTGTAATGAAAACGACTAGCATTCTTTCTTTAGGAACACATTTTGTGTATAAAAGGCACAGGATGGATGGGGAATGTCTGACATTTTAATCTCTCGTACAATTCTAAAAAATGCTAATGTTGATGTTACTGCTTCATACCACAGAGAATACTTGTAAGATTTACTGATAATGGGGGAGTGGAGAATATTTATTCTATCTTTCAGACTATAAAAAGGATTAATTTACAGTATTGAAAATTCCCTTGACAGTTATTAAACTTTTCATATTTCAAATGAAGTAACAAAACTAAAGGTGTTCAAGCCACACCCCCAGGATGCACTGAAGCATTTGTATGACTGGTAACAATGCATTTGTGCATGAGTATTTTCAGCATAGACTTGGCTGTTTGAGAAGGAAACTGTCACAGGCATTAAATATCTCTTTGAACCATGCATCAGATGATTTGTGCATATTTTTTTACACAATTAAATGGGTTTAAAACTTTGTAAAATGACAAAGGATGGGATTTTATAACATTCTTTTGGATGGTTTTTGTGCAGTGAAGATGTCCAAGTTGGAGATAGTACGTTTATTTAAAATGTTGGTCTCTACTAAATGAGTCTACATGGTGCCAAGATCCAGAAGAACAGCATAATCATGTCTTAGTCTTTTGGGTTGCTATGCGGTGTGGACATATAGGTAGATACCAGTGTTTCAGAAGAACAGAATTGCAGATGGTGGCAGTATGTTTCTTTGAAATGTTGGTATCTCCCTACAAGTGACATCTGAGTGATAAAAAGATTTGTTTATCAAACCTGTATCCAAAAATCAGCTAATCCTGTAGAAAAAAAGTCACAACATTTAAACTGCAAATGCTTAAAAATAATCCTGTAGAACAAAAGTCACAACATTTAAACTGCAAATGGTGCTAAGTGACGTTTAGAATGAAATTAAAATATTAAAATTTGATGAACAGTGCTTTATCAATATGACGGCATACAGAGTGATTTGGGAAAACGAAGATGTCAGACTAGGTTGTTGCTCAGAAGAGTTTTCAAGACCAAATTTCGAGGAAAATGGGATTTAATATCACGTTTAAGGCTGAATAGTTTGTGTAGCTTGGGATTGGTCTAATCTGTTGTATTGTCTGAGGGTGTAATCAGCCTAAATCTTGTGATGAAGAAGAGGAAGATTGTGACGTTGATAAACTTTCTTTGCCGTTTAGGATCTTTGTCACCTGCTTTAAGTTAAGATAGAGAATATCATGCGATGTGGAAGAGTGATGTTGTTTGTGCGTGGCAAGTGAAGTTAGTGTTTGAAGTTTGCATTTTGCTTCATTATTTCAGCTGCTTTGTAGAGGAAAGAAGGTCATTCGAAAATAAATTTATTTTATTCCATATCCATGTTTGGCAGTAGGTTCCAGCAAATAATTTCTCGCATGAAGAGGTTATGTTTAGGTTATATGTGTTTAACATTTACATGCAGGCGGAATTGAATGCTTACGAAAGAATGGGAACTTCTGCAAGTCAACACGGCGACCTTGCTTCCAACGAATATCTCCAAAAATTTACCAGGAAAGAACATATATCACCAAATAATCCATTCTGGAATAGATTTTTATCAATTTCTTTCACACCCCCAGCAACAAGGTACAAATATGAACTCCAGTTTTACTTTTATATCCATGTTATGAGCTAAAGCTTTGTAGGTTATAATTTCTTTTAATTCAAATTTTTAATATCATGCTTTTGGATAGAATAGAATTGAATTTATTTTATTTACATTCTTCATAGGCCTAAGCCAAGGATGTAGAACAGGTCATAGCACAAATACAATACTTGTTTCTAGTACAAATATAAATACATAGTTATAACAGCTTTTTACAGATTTTTGAAACTATAGTATTACAGCAAAATAATTATGATGAGAAACCATCACAATTATTACTTACATGTATTTACAATAGTTGAGACTTTTTGGGTGATGTAAATTCTTCTACTGAGTAGAAGGAGTGAGGTAAGAGATACTCTTTTAACGCTAGCTTAAACATTTTTTATCGTGATTTAAACTTTTGATATTTACTGAGATTAAAATTTGGCACATGAAGGTTGTATCTGTTTCTCGTTCTTATATTGTAGATATCCGAATTTGTTTGAAATTTTTCCATGTTATCCACTACAAATGATAATAGTGAGAGCAAGAATTCACTGAGTAGTGGAAGAATATTAAACTTCTTAAATAATTCCCTACAAGAGCCTTTCCTTTTAGTGCCTGGAATTATTCTAATGATCCTCTTTTGAATGTAAAATACTTTTTTTGGTGTCTGTTGAATTTCCCCAGAAAATGATTCCATATGACATGATGGAATTGAATAAGCAAAATAAACTAGTTTTAAAGTTTTTGTTTTCACGAGTACTGCAACTGTCCTCATATCAAAACATGCCAAGCTTAGTTTATGGATAACATATTGAATATGCGTTTTCCAGTTGAATTTTCTTGTCAATTTGTAGGCCAAGAAATTTAGTTGTTTCTATTTCCTTGATTATTTTATCATCATACCCTATATTTAGATTTATACAAGTTCTGTTGTTAGTACAAAATTTCATGAAATTTGTTTTGTCAAAATTTATTGAGAGTTTATTGGCTTTAATCCATTTGTTCAATCTAGCAAAGCCATCGTTTATGAAATTTTGAAAACGGTCAATTTCTGGATGTGAAATTATAATATTAGTATCATCAGCAAAGAGTGTAGGTTTAGATTGAGAGTTGATGGTTGGGGCAGATCATTGATATATATGAGAAAAAGCAGAGGACCAAGCTATGTTGCCAGTTTGGTTTGACAAATGTTAACTACAATGAAGTGTTGAAGGTCATCTTCATACTTCAATGTGTGTGTGTGTGTATATGCCAGTCTTGAACATGGACTCAGAACGATCACATATGCAGTTATTAACTCTATATTTTTTGGCAGAAAGCATGAGTAGAATGTACTCCAGTCCACTTTACATATATTTGAATCTAAACTATATAAGCAGATAATAGATAAATATGTATTAATGCTATTGATTCTGGATACATCCAAAGTAATGAGCAGAATAAACTTTAAACTTTGCAGTGTACGTGAGTATTAAGGTGGAACATCACATAGAATTAACTTGTTTTTAGTGTGTGAATTATGTGGTAAGGGATGGAAACTGTAATTTGAGCTATTGAGAGCATTTTTAAATAAACCATAAATATCACCAATAGGGAGCAAGCCTGCATGCTTCAGTTATGATCATGGAAGAAGGAACATTTTCCAATATTAAATTTTTCTTAGTTGAGTGAAAAGCAATTTAAACATTGTTCTTAATTTGACTTTCACAAAGGCTCCTAGTAATCAAGGAAATATTTGGTGGTACCATTTTTGTTAAATAAGTGAGGCAAAATTCTTTTCACTGTTCACAGTGTGAACTGGCATGTTCAGACATATTTTTGTAAGGATCATTTGTGACTCTGTTTTGGCTACTGTTATAGTTCAGAACATCATGCATTAGACGAGCGAATTGATGCAACATGTCGCCAGTTACTTGCAAACAATCTGCAGTCTGGTAACTTTGGCTCACTGCTTCATGTTTTCCTGAGTCGAGCCTCAGAGCTGCTTGCCTCAGCACAGACTGACAAGTAAGTCTGTAGTGTAGCATTCTATATGTTATGTTCATTCTTGGTTTTTCTTGTTTATAACTTTTCAAACACTCAGTTCGCTGTCCGTTTAGTATAACAACATGCTTTGGTCACTATTTCTTGACATTAGGAGGAGAAAATATGATCTCCAGTGCAGTGACACAAACTCAAGGAAATGAACCTGATGATGGCCACATTGGACTGAAACATATTGTTCTAGTGAAAGGACAGTGAACTGAGTGTGTGAAAAGTGACAAACAAGAAAGACTGTTAACTGACAAGTAAGATTTTACATTCTGATGAATTTTCAAGTTTCTTTTGGGTTTTTGAAATATTGATGCTCTAAATATTAAATATGTGGGGCCCATGCAGACCTCTGTGGCTGTGGCCTTTTTCTATCATGTCATGTGTTTGCTCCATATTTTAATAAACCAGCTTGCTAGTCTATATGTTATGGACGATTATTAGTGTCAAGCTAATATACATCATTGGCCATTGTTCCTAATAACAAACAGGTCCACAGATTGTAATTTAGAATGTTTTTTTCATTCCAGTTTCAAATCACCAACTTCATTTTATTGTTTCAGTAACATGTTCTGTTGGCAGACTTACAATGCACTATTTATACTTCGTTGTATCACCAAATTCTTTGTGGAGAACTTGAAAGAAGAAGATTTGGTACGCCAGTTTGAGGCTTGCCCAGCCCGACAGCCTGATGGTACATTGCCAATAGCTTTAGTACCTACTGTTATAATAAGTGATCACATTTTCCTTCACTTGTTACTGAAATATTGGTTGTTTTTCTCTTATGTTGTAGTTTGGATATTTTGGCTATGGTTGGAGTTTTGTCAGCTTAAGTACATTTTTTATTGACGATGGCTGTCTTCTAGGTTGTTGTGCC